CATGGATTGATGATACATATTGAATAATGGTTTTGGTATATACGTGCGGGCTGTGGAGTAGATACTTGTATTGGGAATTTTATATATTAATGGAGAATATTGTAGTAAATCATGCAGTGAGCACCATATTATAAAAATGGAAAGTGCATTGAAACTTATATTTGTATACCTACCTAGCGACATTCTTCATGAAATTATGGATTCATAAGAGGACAAAACTAAATCCAGGATGATGAATGTTCAATATTAACCTTTTTCAGAATATGTTATGAAGAAGTTCAAAAAATTTTTATGAGATTGTTTTACCAAGTTTCAATACAAAGACCTTTCAGAGCCAGATTGGCTCTTGAATATTTCAATGAGTTATATGCACATTTTTCCTCTTTTGTTGGCTCATCAGTAGGTACCTACCTATTCCCTATTCCGTATCTACTATTTCTATTCTACAAAGTTTTTGATTACAACAAAATTATTATGATTTATGTCAAATACCCTTATTTGTCAAACATTCCAAACATTCCACCACGCATTCGATGTCCTAAGACCGAATGGCCAGTGCCACCAGGATGATAAGAAATTCCACAGAATAGTCAATTAAACGGCGATTCTGACCCACTGGTGACACTAGCAAAGTCAAAAAAAATGCAACTAGTGAAAAATATGCGAAAACTCTCATCGCTCCACACATACCATTCAGCGATACCAAATCTCATTTTGATAGACTTGATAGTCTACTAGAAGTTTTGGATTGTCTAATGGATTCGTTGACATCTGATGGTATTGTGCTGTGCTATGTGCTCACATTTTACCTGCTGTCATCTTCCAGAAGCTAGACTATAATAAATAGTAGTTTGAAAAAGTAAAAAAACACGCTTTTATAGATAGCCAAACTAAAAAGAAGTAGAATATGAAATAGTTAAAATATGTTGGTAAATACACCACATAGAAAATATACTGATCACGTAGGTGCTTATATTTTCTTTTTTATTTTCTACTTGTTTTTAATTTGCTATCAATTGAAGCGTGTTTCGTTAGTTCTTCAAAGTACTATTTATTCTCTATTTTTTAGTTCGGCCAACTTTGAGTTTTTGTAAGTACCTACCCAATTTTGACGAAAGAATCATAATCTCCGACCCCAAAAAACCCCTAGATATCAATATTGAATAGAATTGGATCATAATAATAAAATTTGTCCGCCATATTGGATCCTCCATCTTGAATTTTCTAATTTTAATGAATGAATCATAATTTTCGACCCTAAAATCCCCCAGATACCAATTTTGAATAGAATCGGATCATAATTACTAAACTCGTTCGCGATAATGTTTCCGCCATCTTGAATTTTCTAAAAAAAGAATCATAATCTCCGTCCCTGAAAACTGTCAGATTCCAATGTTGAATAGAATTTGATAATAAAAACCTAACTCGTCTGCCATATTGGATCCGCCATCTCGAATTTGCCAATTTTGATAAAAGGATCAGAATCTCCGACCCCGAAAATCCCCAGATACTAATTTCGAATAAAATCCGAAATCGGGTCATAATAACAAAACTTGTCCGTCATATTGGGTCCGCCATCTTGAATTTCCTAATTTTGACGAAATAATCATAATCTCTGTGACTCCAAAAATCCTCGAAACCAATTATGAATGGAATCGAATCAAAGACAAAACTCGTCTGCCATATTGAATCCGCCATCTCGAATTTCCAAATTTTGACGGAAGAATCATAAGCTACGACCCCGAAAACCGCCAGATACCAATTTTCAATAGAATTGGATAATAATTACAAAACTCGTCCACCATATTGGATCCGTCATCTTAAATTTCCCGATTTCGACGAAAGAATCATAATTCCCGACCCCAAAAACCCCCAGATACTGAATAAAATCCGTAATCGGATTATAATTACAAAACTAGTCCGCCATTTTGGAGCCGCCATTTTGTTCCTTGTCTAACAAACATTTCATGATGCATTGTCAACAAAATTATGTACACCCTCCAAATTTCAAATTAATTGGACGTTTTGAAGTGGGTCAAAATCACGTTCGAAGATACCGTTACAATCAAACAAAACAACAAAAATATATACCAAGCTAATATATGCGTGTTAATGAGGGCTAACATTATGTATTGTCCACCAAAACGCTTCACTGAAACGTGAGGTCAGAGTTGGTAGAACTGATGACTAAACTTTTTATTTTCGTGGCATCTGGCATCTTCCTACGATATCTTCTTCTCCGTCAATGTAGTAGTAGTAGTAGTAGTAGTAGTAATAGTAGTAGTAGGTGGGGAGGCCGTAGCCAAGCAAGTAGGCCCCGATGGACCCTTTTTGCTAACCCCTGCTCTCCACATATCTACGCTTCCTTCACCTAGATTTCCTTTACGAATCTCCCTGACCTTTTGATGAAGGCCAGTAGGTCCGTTCACTCTAATATAATCAAGTCCTCCTGTTGGAGTTTGTCTACTCCAAAGATTTCAAATCTCAGCCTTCCGTACGCCTCGCACTCGCTGAGAAAATGGAGTGACGTTACCTCGTCTTCCCCGCATCTGCGGCAAGTGGGGTTGTCCTCTATTCCCATAAGTGATAGGTGTTTACCTAGCCTGTTGTGTCCTGTGAGTACTCCTATGAGGAGGCGGAGTACTTGGCGGTCTCTGCCTAGCAGCCACTCCTTCCTTGATTTGCTTGGACCGGCCATGAGTTCCTTGGCCTGCCTGCAACCTGTGATATTCCTCCAGTATTATCCTAGTGCCTTGTCCGCCCATTCATCGAGGGCTGACGTAATGTAAGAATTGGTCGTAAAGTTCCACATTGAGAGTAAAAAAACTTGAGTCGGTTCAAGTCTTTCGATAACTTGAGGTGAATTGGTTGTAAAGTTCCACATTGAGAGTAAAAAAACTTGAGTCGGTTCAAGTCTTTCGATAACTTGAGGTGAATTGGTCGTAAAGTTCCACATTGAGAGTAAAAAAACTTGAGTCGGTTCAAGTCTTTCGATAACTTGAGGTGAATTGGTCGTAAAGTTCCACATTGAGAGTAAAAAAACTTGAGTCGGTTCAAGTCTTTCGATAACTTGAGGTTTTATATTTCTTCAAATATTCTACATAATGATAATGATGATAATTTATTTTATATAAAATTACAAGAATTTTACACTCGTCACAGATACACTTCACAATCGAAACTACAGGCACTACAATAATATAAAATTAAAAAAAGTAAAGTTAAACATGACACACGAGAATAAATCCATGGTTCAAATATCAACATCGAACTCGCATGTACAGGAGGGCATGTGGAGGAGAAACTCCTCAACTGAATAAAAACAATGTAACATCAGGATATCCCGTATTTTTTTCTTAAATACTGAATAAGTTGAACCTTTATAGTTGTGTGGTAGGGCATTATAGAGCTTAGCACTGATATATCTATATGAATTTTGTGTTTTCTTAATTTTACAGAATGGTATGCAGATATCATCACTGTTTCTAGTTGAGTTTGAATGTATATGATTGTGCCGTACAACACCATCTGTTGAACATTTTTTATGAATGAATAGAAGGCACTCCATTATATAGCAACAGGGTAATGGAAGAATTGATAATTTTTCAAAAAGAGGTCTACAGTGAGATAGACAGCTACTAAAACTCATGATCCGTATTACTTTCTTTCGCACTACAAATACTTTTTCTTTGTGACTACAGTTTCCCCAGACTATTAGTCCATAAGTTAGTATACTATGAAACAAGGAGAAGTAGGCCATCCTTAAATGCTGGATATCTAACTGATGCCTTAATTGTCTTATTCCAAATGTTGCTCTTGCTAAGCGCTTGCATAGATCTTGAGTGCGATAACCGAAATCAAACTTCGAGTCTAAGTGTATACCTAAGAGCTTAACAGGTTCGCTGTGATTGCTGTTTGTAGTACCTAGGTAAGATAATATTCTGAGTTTTTGTTTCATTGAGAGTCAGACAATTTGTGCAGAACCATTCTTTGGATATTGACTCAGACTGTTCTAGATTAATAAGTGATTCTTGACTGGTCTTGCTATAGTGGCTATATAAGTTGCATCATCAGCGTAGAAAATTGGTTTTACAATTCGACCAAGATTAATAGTCAGATCATTGAAATGAATGATGAAAAACAGGGGTCCAAGTACGGATCCCTGAGGGACCCCATACTGCACTGCATGAGTATCAGATATTTGGTTGTCATGCTCAATATAGTGAGTCCTATTTTCTAGATATGAGGAGATGAGGTCTAATGGAGTTCCTCTTTTTTTTTTTCGAATATTTTCGGCAAAATTTTGGGGTTTTGACATTGACACTGACCTCACATTTTAGTAGCGCCAACTGGTGAGAATGAAAGATGTTAGCCCTCATTAAGCAACGACCGACTGGCCATCAGGATGGCCCTGGAAAGGCGCGAGCAGTACCGGTAGGTCAGGGCAGTGGATTTGCAGAAGAGGTATAGAATGGCCAGCAAGATCTCTGTCTAGACGATAATGAAGCACTCTATAAAATTGCAATTCTCCTTAGACACGATACTTCAAAATAAATCGTTCTATTTGTTTTTGAAAGGAACTAGTACTTGACATTGACACTGACCTCACGTTTCAGTACCGCCAACTGGTGAGAGTAAAAAATGTTAGCCCTCATTAAGCGACGTCCGTCTTTCAGGCAACGACCGACTGGCCATCAGGATAGCCTTGGAACGGCGCCAGCAGTACCGGTAGGTCAGGGCAGTGGATTTGCAGAAGAGGTGCCATAGAATGGCCAGCAAGATCTCTGTCTAGACGATAATGAAGCACATTTTGGGCAATTGCTTCGAATACCACTCTAAAAAATTGCAATTCTCCTTAGACACGATTCTTCAAAATAAATCATTCTATTTGTTTTTGAAAGGAACTAGTAGTTGACATTGACACTGACCTCACGTTTCAGTACCGCCAACTGGTGAGAGTAAAAAATGTTAGCCCTCATTAAGCGACGTTCGTCTTTCAGGCAACGACCGGCTGGCCATCAGGAAGGCCCTGGAACGGCGCGAGCAGTACCGGCAGGTCAGGGCGCACGTCAGAAAGGAGGACGGGCGGCTGCAGGCGTACGGCTGGAGCCTGCCCGGCAAGGTGGGGCCGAATCCGGGCGGCGGCAAGCACAGCGGCGGGGTGCCCGTGCCGGTGCCGGTCTACTGCCGCCCGCTGGCCGAAACCACGCCAGAGATGCGGATCTGGTGCGCCGCCGGGGTCAACATGATGGGCGGGTATACCAGAGACGGGGGACTGATGGTGAGAAAACGAGGTGGTTTTGATGTGTGGGAGTGAAACGGTCTCGGTTCCCGGAAGTATTAGTAGTGTGCTGATACACCCCCCCGTATTTTAATATTTTAATAAATACAAACATATTGATGTTCTGACAAAAAAAAGATATCTCCAATTATTGGTGCATTGAGAAGATGTCCCAAACTTGATATTAAAATTGCAAACATGATTCTCTACTCTCATATACTGAGTCCTATCAACTTTTTAATAAATGTTTGGGGATCTTGTTCAAAAATTAATTTCAATAATATATCAACATTATAATATAGAAAATCGGAGATCTAAGCGCCGGCTTACATAAGAAAGGTATTTCTACCTTGGTTCTCAATGGAAGCGTTTCATTTTAAATCACCCGCTTATCAACTTTCTTAGAGTACTGGTTCCACTTACGTGACGGATGATTCACACACATGTTATTTCACTGATTTTAACTGTCTACTTTGCCAAAACTTGACTAACATGTGTAAATGCTCTGGACACACCACAGAGCTGTTTTACCCATATCCTACCCCATCATTATAATTGAAATCCACCCAATGAAGGGCATGGAGTTTGAATCCAGATGCATAGTCTGATGACTGTGCACCCTTCAGAGAAAGTGCCTAACAAGAAAACTGGATTTGGCTGTATGTCATATGACAAGAGGCCAGGAAGTTAAGGAGGAGAAGAAGAAGAAGACTGCATGCTATAGCCGAATACCACTTGAATGTGAATCTGAATTTGACTCTGGACGAGAATCTTGAAATTTGAATCTCGAATCTCGAAATGAATTTGTATGTGAATGTTTTCTTCATCGAACCCTTTCAGAATTTATAGTATATCCCTTTCCTTTGTTCACAAGAATTTCAGCTTTATCTAACGGATGCATATTATATATTGGCAGTTGTCAGCATGATTTGTTGTAAAACTGGATTTGGGCGCGGTTGCCAGGTATAATACTAATTTCTTGGAGACTCAGGTTCTCTTCAAGGAATAATTTTATTTTTTTTTTCTATTCCCCCAGAGTGGGGCATCAGTGCGTCGGAGCTTGATTGCTCGAGTTCTATGATAGCTAGAAACTTGATTCAAAAACGAATGTGAATGAGGCAACAAGGTCCATAACTAGAAATTATTGCCGCATATTCAGGTGGCACCGGAAAAAATCTAGAGGGTTGTGATCACTTTTTTTGAATGGAATGCCCTGTATATTAGCACATTGTTTGAAGCATCTCTGTGACCTCCAACAACTCCTATAATATTGTTGACTATATCTCGATAATTTCAAAGTTATTAATTTTTTTGTCGAAATAATGTCATCTGCCGATGCATACCGAAAAAACCACTGTAGTCACAATTATGAAATTCAAGAAAGAATAATCATAATATCATTCGATCGAAAGATGCGTGATATTTCTGTAGAATTTTCATGCCCTCAAATTATACAGGGTGGCTAAAAACTTTTTGAAGTGAATTTTCTCGCGTTTTTCAAATGATCATCGATACACATTCTCATCTGTTATTAAAACATCAAAAGTCCAATTAATAATTCATTAAACTTGTTTTTTCATTGAAAGAATTGATATCAGAAATAAAGCAAACAGAAATAGTTCATATGCTAGTTATTTACAAGGAGAAAAAAAAATTTAAAAACTTCACAAACGATGAGTTTTCCACAAAATTCTCAAACACACGACATGTTTCGCTAACACAGTAGCTTCGTCAGGTGATATACTGGTACAATGAACTGAACTAACGTTAGCTTGCTTAACTTTTATATATCTTACTTTCCCAACCTGAAGGATTAGTTACTTGTGGACAGGTACGATAAACCTCCATTTTCGGAAATTAGCACAATATCTACATTAAAATACGGTATACCGGATTACCTTGAAAGAGTTGATAGCAAATACATATTATTACTTACTAAGAAAACAAATTCAACAGTGGTGACCTATTGAGGTCTAGTTGATCATTAAGTAAAATGTAAAATTTTTTGAGTTTGTTGATTTCTAATGATTCAAAATGATTGAGTCTTAGTCCTTTATTTTCTACGTGCAAAATTTCGAAATTATCATCAAAACTATGGTTTTCTTCTAATATATGGTTGGTGTTGAATTTGTTTTCTTTTTCATAAAATTCATCTTATGTTCATGAATGCGCTGATTAAACGTACGACCTTTCTGACCGATATATACCTTAGGACAAGATCCACAGTTGAGTTTGTATACCCCTGATTTTTTGAATTTAGAAGTTTTGTCTTTATTATTCTTGATAAACCGTCCCAACGTGTCATTTGTTCTATATGCCACTTTTAAGTCCTGTTTATGTAAAAATGAAGCTAATTTCTCAGTTGCCTTCTCTTTAACATCAACAAATACACCCAATTTTTTCAGTGTTGAAGTTTCAGGTATGAAAGAGGAAATTAAAGAAATAAACGAGGTCAAATATTTGGGCATAATTATTGATAAAAATTTAAAATGGAACAATCATATTGATTATCTAACAAAAAAAGTGAGGAAGCTAATATATAAATTCTACCAGCTCTGCAGATTTCCATCGAAAAATCTACTCATATTAATTTACAAATCTCTAGCTGAATCACTTTTCCGCTATGGTATTCTGGTGTGGGGAGCAATGTATGAAAGTTCTTTGCAAAAACTAAACGTAATACAGAACTATATTCTGAAAATAATTTTGAAGCAGGAAAGATCATTTCACACTAATCTTATATAGGTATTCAGAAGATCTTTATAATATTCGATCACTATACTTTCACAGTATATGTATGTATGCTTTCCTTTCCATAATTATGTTCCCACAATTTATATTACTAGAAGTACAAGGTGATTCAATATGGGTGGCGAGGTACTGTACCTTAGAAACTGATAGTCTATAAAACACGCCCCTTTGCGAGGGCGGTAAGAACCCCAGAATGACATGTATGATTTTTTATTTCATTCGTCAAACATACCTTTCTTGATACAGGCCTTGTTGGAAAAATTCTTAGCTCCTCAGATACAGAATCTCGTCATCCTTATTGAATAACCTGGTACAGCCAACGAATTGCTACCCACTCCAAAGTTTAATAAAAATGTTTGTCATCGTTTTCTAACTTACACATTGCCTGAAGTTTGTAATATTCTACCCCTTAAGATAAAACATATCAAAAATCACAAAGTCTTTTCGAGGGAATCACAAAAATTTATGTTCGAAAATTACTTTGAATTTATCAAAATATTAGAAAGTCAATAGGTACACTCTACCACTATTGCTTCCCAACTGTACTTAGATTTATTGATTACTACTACTACTACTATTTATTATTACTTTGTAGCACAACACAAGTGTTAACTCACTTAGGTGCTATTATAGTTCAAATTGTACACAATCTCTAGCTAGCTTATATTCTGTTATACTGGTATATAAGGATTACTGAATGGGTTATTGTATATTGTGTATCAAATAAATAAATAAATAAATAAATAAATAAATAAATAAATAATATAAATATAATAATATTATCAGGTAGGCGGCAGCGTGTTCTACTCGACCGACCCGACTACCCCGCCGCCCCATCACCCGCCCACCCCAGTCGACGCCTTGGCCCGTGAGATCGACGCAGGCAGGCAGGCCGCCCAGCTCGAGACGCGCCTCTCCTCGCTCGTCTGGATATGCACGACCGCCCACTCGGCCACCATCGTCACCGTCGTCGACGCCAACAATCCCGCCGAGCTGCTCAACAGCTTCGGCGTGTGCTCGGCGCACGTGCTGTGCATCGCCAGCGTACCGGGTGCCGGTAGAGGGGACTACGCGGAAGAGGAGGGAGGGTCAGTGTGTGTCGAGCGCGAGCGCGAGGTGGTCGTCAGCGAGGACGTCGCGCAGACCGAGGTAGGAAACTCTGAGCACATCGGCTGTTTCGTAGTTGAAATAACGCCAGTTGGCAGTGCTGCCGTTTCGGTATTCTCTACTGAAGTCAGTACTTTTATACTGAATTACGGTTAGAGTCACTGAATGGTCTTAGTTTAGAAAATTGTTCGGACACAGCTTAAATTCTGTCCGTTTCTATATTACAATAGTTTGAGTGAATAAAAGAATGAGACATATATTCTCCTCTTTGTCATTCCAATTTTCCTAGTAGCGCCTGATTGTCAGATACGATTTTAGAGGTTAAATTTTCTGTCAAATCAATCATTGTCGTAGATGAAAAATAGAAATAGGGTATAAATACCTAGGTACTTCAATTTATATGGCGATTTACTTCGCAGAACAATAGATATAAAAATTAAAAGAATTCATGTAACAACATTTTAATATGAAAAAACACACATATATACTTGTAGCTAGTTCCTTATTGTATGTATTACTGTACCCGAGTGATAAAGTTTAAAAAATTACGATTGTTTTGATTTTACACCTCTTATCACTGATAAATTTTGAAAATGGTTGGTATTTAAAACGCATTGCACATTGCAATTTACTTGTTTTCCTCAGTTTCTTTCTCGAATTTTCAATTTCATTACGTAGTTTTGCAATCAATTCGTCTTTCTCTATGATAATTTTGTTTTGCATTTCGTGTAATTATAATGTTGGAATTTTTTTTCAATAGTCTGTTTTGTAAATCAATGGAACTGCCGATTCTCTCAAACGGATCTTATACACCTTGTGTTTGAAAATGGGCCTGAAATATACCTCACAAATTAATTTTCCATCCAGGCCTCTTCATATACATTCCTTCCATAAGGGAATGGCTGATATTATTATTTCCTTTGGAAAATTAAAAAAATGAAATCGCCATTCTTTTCAGAATTCCAGCAATTCATCACACAGCAGGACATTTTCATTTATGCTTTTTTCTCAATAGATTATGAAATTATATTCCAATTCTGCCGTTCACAAAATGTATTGTCAAATTCAAACAATTACGGAACGATTATGATGCTGTTTTCGCAATGCAAGGTGTGTAACTTAATGAATCAAAACATTCAAAAACTCTAACCGTTGTCATTTCTGTGTCCGAACTCTTATCTAAGCAATACCATCCAGTGACTCTACTTACGGTAAGTCTGTACGACTATTTCTAAAACCAGTGGCGTAACTTCATATTTTGGACCCCCCGTCATAATCACTTAGAGCCCCCAAGAAAAAAAATATGAAAAAGTTTGAAAAATAGAAACATGTAAATTGAAAAAAAAGCGTATCAAAATAAAAATATAATGACGACTAGTAGACTAGTGGATTTATCATTCTTATAACAACATTGTAGAGCTTCTGCGGATTTGAACAGCTCGTCTTCTGTCAGATAAACAAGAGTTGAGGGTTTCAAAAAACTGAAATTTGCAGCAATCCTCTGAATTCCTTCAAAATTGGTGAGTTATTTGATTGACTAAAATGTCAAAAATGTTGTTGTATATATTAGTTTTGAAATGGCTCTCATGATTTGAAAATATATGTGTATTATATTCACCGAACTGTTTATTTTTGTTTATGTTATGTTGTTATACAGGATGATTCAAAAGTAAGCGGCATCCTTTCAGGGGCGTATTCCTTGCATGAAAATAAGGCAAAAAGTTTCCATTGATGAGGGTCCAAAAATGCTTCCTGTGGGAATTGAGCCTCTTCAAAGAGGACACCTCAGAGACGATTTTTTCTCTCTAACTTTGAAACCCTCCACAATAAATTTTCGAAAATTGGTGTACTACATAAATATTTGATGGTAAATGAGACTCTGAATTCAAAATTTCATACAGGGGCGTCAGATGCAGGGGAGGGTAAGTGTAAAAACATCCCTTCTTCTTTTGATATTCAGGTTATTTTAATTTCTTTGAAAATTCTAAAATTCTACAGTTTTTTATTTGAAAAGGGTACTCCTAGTTCATTTAGATAGAGGGTACCATTTAGGAGAAAATCGACTTTGAAAACTTTCTGATTTGCGTGTGTTTACTGATGTAGGTGAATTAATATGCATTATCATAATTAAAAAACAACCCGTTTTTACACACCTGGTAACATTTTTGGATTGTTTTCAATTGTCCGAAATCCTTTCTCTATTCAAAGGGGCGTAGCTCCTTTAGGAAGCATTTTCTGACCTTTATTAATAGTAATTTTTTGCCTTATTTTTATTCAACGAATACGCCCCTGAGAGAATGCCGCTTACTTTTGAATCACCTTACATTATGTTGTCTTCTTTCTTCAAATACTATCTCAGTAATTTGCATATACTGATATCTTCATTTTTAAAATTCGTGTAATCGTTTCGATCATTCTTGAGGTAAATTAACGTCTGAATTTTGGAACGGTACTTCTGAGTTTCTTTGTTGATTATGGGACATGAAAATTCCACTTTAAATTTTGATAAATGTATATACAGTGCAGACTCGGTAATCCGAACTAATAACCATATATAAAAACCAAGGCGATTCGGATTACCAAAAAATTCGGATTACCGAAACAGTTTTTTTTTAAATTTTTTATTACGAAATGGAAAAAAAACATAAATACGAAAAAGTAACACTAAAATATGCATAAAAGTAGGAATATAATACTAGTTTCTAAAGTAATTTGTAAATTTTGATTGCTTAACACATCTTTGATTATTTATAAAGGCCATTTCTTTTAATCTTTGAAGTACAAGAATATCATTTAACGGAATATTATTTTCTTCCTTGCGTAATGTGAATCCAAGATACTAACAAAAGAACAATTAGGGGGATCCCTGAACATTTCACTCACAATTTCTATAGGAAATAAATAGGCCTAAAGGTATAGGTTCGGATTATCGAGTACTATGAAATTCGGATTATAGAGTACTCAATGTATTAAAAATGCTTGTTCGGACTACTGAAGAATTCGATTTATTGAACGTTCGGATTATCGAGTCTGCACTGTACCAAGATATTCGATTGTATTCACTTTAGATATTTTATTAGTACATGAACAAATAACTGGTATTTTGAATACATTTTCAGAGCAACTCTGATCATGAATTATTGTCAATATTTTGGTTGTGAATCATCATAACAGGAAAATGTCATGAATTTTGTTTTATTCAAATTTATAGTTGACAAGTTAAAATCGAAATTATTTTTTACTATTCTTATTGCTTTTCTGCATTAGATACAGCTTGTGACGAAGAATAGTCACATATTCAGTCATTATGATTACATAGTGGTTTACATTCCAGGAAAATCTAACATCGCAATTTTGAACTTGTTTCATATTTTCGATAACTCAAAATCTATACTGTGCCCGTGTAAAGTCTATTCCCCCCATTACTAATTTTTGAAGCACCTGGTATATCGCAACGAAATTTGGAGGGATGCAATGAGTGATGGAAACCCTATTTCTTCATAGAGAAATGGCAGCTCAGATCGCCATCTTCAATTATTTTTTCAAATAGAACACCTTGTATATTAATCCATTTTTGACATCTCATAATTGAAGGGGCAAGTGGAAGGAAGGGGTGAAGTAACATTTTCTAAAAATATTCGGTTATGTCTTGGAAGAAGGTGTTACGTGCATATTTAACTTGTCCCGTCGGGATTTGTTTCTATTCTTCATACCTGAGCAGATACACAGTGGTAGAAGAGGCTATGTTACATTAAATATCAAGAACGCAATGGAAGAAGGAGCTATGTGCGCATTGGCTACATGTCAGGGAATGGAAGAAAGGGTTATGTACAGGGTGCGCCTCTTAAAATGGATCCCCCCCTTAACTCTTTTGTTTTCGGAGATACGAAAATATGTTAAAGAAAAAAGTTGTTTGGAACGACCAAAACTTTTATTTCTAGATGTTGTTTCATATACAGGGTCATCCGTTTTTCCAGAAAGAACATCAACTTTGATTTTTTCAATGGAACACCCTATATATTTTCCGACATGTTGATAGAGCTTTTTTTTCTGATTCCAAAAATATATATGAGTTGCATATTCGGATGAAGAATAATTGAGTTATTGATGATCAAAGTTGACCAAAATATCGCTTCATGAAAAAATATTCCATGGAAAAGTCAATAATAACTACAAATCATTATGTGGATAGTTTGGTATCACACTATAACAGTAACGCATGCGTAGATGTCGAAATATCATCAAGAATTCTTGACAACAAAACTTGAATGAATCTTTATAATATTCATTGAATGAACTATATGAGAATTTTCAAAAATTTTTTCTTTTGTTATTTTATTTTTCAAGAAGTCAGTATCCGGAATATCATGTTATGGATCTTGTCTTTCAGCGCTCCCCACAGGAAAAAATCACAAGACGTCAGGTCCGGGCTACGGGGCGGGTAAAATATTGGTCCTCGCATTCCAATCCAAGTGTCATAACTCTCATTGAGGTAGTTCGTGACTTCAATTCCATTGTGAGGAGGTCCATCATCCGTGTGGTGGTCGGATTAGAATAACCCCACGGTAAGTCCTGCCTGTCGTAGAAGGCGACTAAAAGGACGCCAATAGGTGGAAGATGGTTAACGCCATCGCCCGGTGCGATACCACCACATCAACCATAGGCACTGTGAAATGGGTATACTTACCCGTGTTTCAGTAGCTGGTTGATGTTCCGGCCAACCCAACCAAACCCAATTTCCTTTTCCTTCCACGCCAACCTCCCTTCTTTATAGAGAATACGCGATGATGAGTTCTCCTCAAGTAAAATTATTCGGAAGTAAAATACCTCTCCATTCGGATTTCCGGGCGAGAGGTGCTAGAGGGGGTTCACCATCGGCTGAAAAAGTCCTCAAGATAGACCTATGTAACATCCGAGGTCTAAGTAAGAACATCAACGATGTCCATCGACACCTTCAAATTGAAAAGCCAGACATATTGGCTCTTACTGAGACACAGGTCAATTCATCCACCAATACGACCTATCTGCTCTGTCCTGGGTACGAACTCCACACACGTTTCAGATTCAAGGGAGGTCTCTGACTTACTCTAAAACGAATCTCTCATGTCAACGAGAAAAAACTTTGGAACCAAATAAGTTTGATGTCATGTGGTTCAAACTCGATAGCCAGAAACAGACCAAATACCTTTGTTGTCTCTACTTATCACCAAATGATCCATCCTATGGAGAGCTCTTCGAATTCTTGTCTCTGAAGCTTGACCAAATTCAACAGAACCATCCAGCAGCGGAAATCATCATCATGGGCGATTTCAATGTACACAACACTGCTTGGCTCGTGCACTCTAACAGAACGGATGAAGCTGGTCGACAAGCCGAAGCTTTCGCCATCACTCACGGCTTAGAGCAGCTTATCAAAGAACCCACACGAATTCCCGATGCCAATAACCATTCAGCTAACATACTTGACTTATTCCTCACTAATAATTCAGCACCCTACACCATAGATGTACGAGCTCCACTTGGCAATTCTGACCACACACTCATCTCCACAACCTGCCCATTTTTCATTCCATCAACTGCTCCGGCACCCCCACGTCTTATATGGCATTACAATTCAGGAGATTGGGACGGTCTCCGCATGTTTTTCTCCGAGTTTCCTTGGCATAGAGTATGTTTTGACTCTGAGGACCCTTCACAGTGTGCTGCGGAAATATCCCAGATCATCATGCTCGGAATGGACACATACATACCTCATTTTTCGAAAAGATCATCACCTTCGAAACCTTGGTTCAACAAAAACTGTTCTAGAACTGTTGCCTTGAAACAAACAGCCTACCATCGCTGGCGCAAAAACCCTAACCTCGCGACTAGAGCAGAATACGTTGATGCCAGGAATAACTGCAGCCAAACAATAGATGCTTCGAAAGAAACATACAATGCCAAGATAAGATCGAAACTCATAGATTGCCCCAATGGCTCCCGTTCGTTTTGGTCCCTTGCTAAAGCGGTCGGAAGAAATTTCACTAATAGTTCATTTCCACCACTGTCCAAATCCGACGGCACATTAGCAACAACATCACAGGAGAAAGCGAATATTTTTGCAGAAATGTTCGCAGCAAACTCTACTTTAGATTCCCAAGGAAAACTGCCGCCAGACATTCCACCCGTTGAGGGTCGAATGCCCGAAATCGTCTTCCGTCAACGCACTATCAGACGAATTATGCTTGGTCTCAAAACGAATAAGGCTAACGGTCCTGATGGAATTCCACCCATTATCCTCAAAAAATGTGCACCAGAATTAACACCCATTCTCTGCAAGTTGTTTACCATCTCGTACAGGTCGGGTATTTTTCCATCATGCTGGAAGACAGCTAGAGTCCAACCAATCCCCAAAAAAGGGAACAAGAACCTGCCCAACAACTACAGGCCCATTGCCCTGTTATCAGTAATCTCCAAAGTGATGGAGAAAGCCATCAATATTGAGCTTATCAAATATCTGGAGAGCTCAGGGATCATCAATGATAGACAATACGGCTTTCGCCACCGAAGATCTACTGGAGATCTACTTGCCTACGTCACCCATTTATGGCAATCTTCAATAGAAAAACACGGGGAATCTCTAGCCGTCGCGTTGGACATATCGAAAGCATTCGATCGTGTTTGGCACGAAGGACTCCTCCACAAACTACCATCATACGGCCTACCAACTCAGCTATGCCATCTCTTATCGAGTTTTCTTTCAGGCAGATCGCTTCACGTGGTGGTGGACGGTGTATCGTCTGATACCATTGGCATCAATTCCGGCGTTCCACAAGGATCAATTTTGGCACCAACATTATTCCTGCTTCATATCAATGATCTGTTGGGAGTAACAACTTGCCCCATCCACAGCTTTGCAGATGATAGTACCCTCCATACTGCGTTCTCTTCCAGAATTCCCATTTCTTCCCAGGAAACTAAGAACTCACGGCGCAGGCAGGTCAATGCTGTCAATGAAGATCTTGCTGAAATCACAGCCTGGGGAACAAACAACCTAGTTGAATTCAACGCCACCAAAACTCAAGCCTGCATTTTCTCTAGAAAGGCGGAACTCAGTATGCCCGATATTGTAATGTCTGGCTCCACCATCCCCACCAAGCCCACCATATCTATGCTCGGTATTTCCATCAGCAACACTCTTTCATGGGATAATCATGTCAGATCCATCGCAAAAGCTGCTTCACAAAAACTCGGATTCTTGTTCCGTGCGAAAAGCTACTTTACACCCCAACAGCTTCTTATGATCTACAAAGCGCAGATACGGCCTGTTCTAGAATACTGTTCCCACATATGGGGTTCAGCACCAAAACATACGCTGATGCTCTTAGATTCCATCCAGAGAAGAGCCATTCGCCTGGTGGGTGACGCCACACTCACTCACTCTTTGACATCATTGGAACACCGTAGAAAGGTCGGCGACCTTTCACTTTTCTATCGATACTTCCACGGGAAATGTTCTTCGGAAATCTCTGCTATCATCCCTCCACTAGCAATACCAATCAGACGAACTAGACAAGCCCAGTCAGCACATCCTTTCGTTGTCAACCTCGAAAGATGTCGAACAGCACTTTATCAAGACTCCTTCATCCATAGAACGGCTAGGCTCTGGAATGCATTGCCTGTGGAAATATTCCCAACAACATATAATCTCCAAAAGTTCAAAAAAAATTCCAATACCTACCTCCTGTCCCTATCCCCCCTAGGAACGCACGATGTTCTTTGAACATTATAGGGATTCCCTTTCGTGCGCTCCAAGCGATAAAAAAAAAAAAAAAAAAAAAATCCTGCTGCCATACCAATTGGTTTCGTCTATTCCAAGGGATTGCTTCATCAAGCAAGTTTTCAATATCACCTTGCAACATATCCAAATATTTTTGTCCCGTCAAGACTGCCATCAATGAAGATGGGACCAATTACTTTAGTGTTATAAACACTGCACCAGACATTTACACTTCTCCGGCCTTGTTTTTCAATCTTTCGAACGACTCGGATCTTCAATGAAATAAAGTAATATATTTTCCTCTGTCCCTTCTATGAGTACCGTTTTTTGTCAATTCCTCTTCATATCACCCAAATCACCACTATCTCGTCTGAACTTCTCGAAGATCCTCTTGAAGGTATTCAAAGATGGAAGCGGACGATCACCAAACCGATGCGCATATTCTCTACGAGCAGCGGTTGCATTTTTCCCACAAGAAATCTATATTTCCTAAATTTCGCATCTTTCATTCAAACTGTAACCCTTTTTTTCTATAGAAATCGAACCTTTTCAATTTCATAATAAACATGGAGCTCAAACAATTTATAAACATTATTTCAAATCATCAATAACTCAATCATTTTCAATCCGAATATGCAACTCATATATATTTTTGGAATCAGAAGAAAAAGCTCTATCGACATATTGGAAAATATATAGGGTGTTCCATTGAAAAAATCAAAGTTGATGTCCTTTCTGGAAAAACGAATGACTCTGTATATGAAACAACTTCACGAAATAAAACTCTGCGTCGTTTCAAACAACTTTTTTATTTAACATTTTTTCATACCTCCGAAAACAAAAGAGTTAAGGGGGGGTTCCATTTTAAGAGGCGCACCCTGTACATACGCATAAATCCATATGTCTATCAAAAAATGATATGATAGCAAAATGCTGTAAATCATAAAAAATCAACCTAAAACTATTCCTAATTGTGAGGAATAGTTGCATAAATTCAATTATTAAAGAAGCTTCCATTAAAAAATGCCAGCTAACTTTACTATAACCTATTTTTCGCACAAACTCATATTCGTAACATAACTCCTTCTTCCACTTGCCCCTTCAATTCTAAACAGTTCTATCAGATACACTTCACTACTAAATTCAATAGTTTTAGAAATATTAACGTTTGAAATGTGACATTTTGGTCATATCATATCATAGACATTATTCTCTTCGCTGGTCATATCAAACCCAACTAAAATCTCGAATGTTGCTTTCAATCAAATTCGATTTGAAAGTAAACAAGATGTCATCGCGAAAACTTTTTTATTATCGCACAGGTGGGAGGAGTTTGAAAGTACAGATAGGCGGCGCTAAGCTGACTATGGCGGTATTAATTTGTTAGTACTTCCAGTATGGACACTCTGAAAAACACAGTCAGTGAGTCATAACCACTATGAAATAGATGAATTCAGCGGGAACTGATAGTATACGAACGTACATGTCATTGATTTTGAAGGATTGTCAAATAGAACACTCAGGAAAATATGTTGAGTACATTAAGGAACTCTAGTTTCACTGAGTCAGCTGACTTGCTGTTACGATATCTGTTGGTTCATGATTCAATATTTTCAGTTACCAAAGAATGAAATGGGTAGAAATGTCAATTTTTAAATGGTTTTGGTGATATTGAATGCTGTATCAACTTTTTGAATTGTTAACTTATGAATATACTTGATTCAGTAACCCCTTTTTTTTTCTCCTGGATACTGCCAAACATCAAGCATGAACCGTCAATTTGAGGTCTATCACCGACCACCCAGCCGATCGTTTTATAACCTGTCAACATATTCCTTGCATCGAGCATATCTTTACATCAAGGTATTTAGTGAAGATGTATGCTTAATTCACCTGATTTTTAGGTAGTAAGTTCCGATAAGGAAAATGGGGACGATGCAAAAGGCGAACATACGAACTCGGTGAAAGGAGATGTGGAAAGTAATGAGAAACCAAAGAGTGTAGAAGACGTTGTGGCACCTGTTATGGGAAGACAGAACGCTAGGCTTCAAGAGGAACAAGAGGAGGCCGCAATGGTACATCCAATTGATTATTTCACATTGTATCTTTCATTACAAGCTACTATTTTCACTAGTCCCTTGCTTCTCATAGAAATACATTTGCTGTAATTTTTTATATTACTATTATATTAGCAAACCGTAAGTGCATACAGGGTGTTTCAAAAAAACCTGACCCCCCTACTAGGGTAGGTAGAACACTGCAAAATAAGTTGGGTTTATTCAGTAAAAAAATTTCGTAACAGCATCCGTTATCAAAATACAAGGTGTTGAAAAAATTATTTTTTTACACATTTTTCACGCTTTTGGGTGTATGATAAATTGACATTCATCATACAGGGCGTGGAAAGAAATTCTGAATTGAGACTCTATCACGAATCTGCGATTAGAGGTCTATGAAAATCACAAGTTTCCATCGTTCAAGTTTGAACCCCCTGATTGGGTATGAAAGTGTTGAAATGGAATATTCTCAGATAAATTATGAACATACAAAAATGGATGTATATTTATATAAAGCAATACATTGAGAATTCGCATTCTCTATGTGATGAGAATATTTACTCTTTCTCAGTTGATTCAATAGAAAACAACTACTTTCCTGAATCAACTGAGAAAGAGTAAATATTCTCATCACATAGAGAATGCGAATTCTCAATGTATTGCTTTATATAAATATATATCCATTTTTGTATGTTCATAATTCATCTGAGAATATTCCTTTTCAACACATTTTTCAAGATTATATTGAAACTACTGGCAAAATTCTGATGAAATTTTGTGTGGATGTTTCTTGGAATCTGACACATCGCATGCATTTGTTTTTATACCTGACACTCATAGAGGGCGCTAGTTACACGGTTCGTACCGAGTAGTTTTGAACATAACTTTTTTGAGGTTAGGTTTTTCAATTCAAATTTGATGTGAACTTGAACATCATTCAATTTCACACCAAAAAGGTACTCTTGGTAAAACTCGATACTGTGTTCCGTTTTCGGAATATTTCGATTTGAAAATGATGAAGTGATAACTGTTGCTGGTATAAAGCTATGTATTATAGTGAGTATTATGAAAAATTATCACCTATTTATTGAAAACCAAAAATAACAATACATTTCTGATGCTAAACTTATTGGTTTAACAATGAATCACAAGAATAACATCGAAACAGATTTTACTAAGAACATGGATTACACAGTTTTGTTGTATCTTGAGCAGAAAGTCTATGCTACATAGGTAAAATCACGTCAAGAGTTATAAGACATTATTGAACATCACTCAAATGACCTAACAGCTGATCCTCAACTGTTTAGAAGAATAATACATTCTTAAGAAAAGAAGATAGAATCGTGAATTCGTAAAAACGTAGGACATTTTGAACACTTACTCTAACTGATTCAATATTTCATGTTTCTAGTCAAATATCTCTTGATTTTCTACTTATGATTTTTTGTTCCATCGATAACATCAGCATAAAAATAATTTTATTGTTTTTGAATCTAAATAAATTGGTAATTGAACTCAATAAAATTCATTTTATACCAGCATCATTACTACTCCATTATTTTCAAATCGAAATATTCCGAAAACGGAGCATGATATCGAGTTACACCAAGAGTACCTTTTTGGTGTGAAATTGAATGATGTTCAAGTTCATATCATATTTGGATTGAAAAATTTAACCTCAAAAAAGTTATGTTCTAAACTACTCGGTACGAACCGTGTAACTAGCGCCCTCTATGAGAGTCAGATATAAAAACAAATTCATGCGATGTGTTAGATTTCAAGAAACATTCATACAAAATTTCATTACAATGTTGCCAGTAGTTTCAACATAATCGTGAAAAATGTGTAAAAAATCGACATTTCGTCACTGAGCAAACCCAACTTATTTTGCAGTGTTTTACCTACCCTAGCAAGGAAGTCAGTTTTTTTAAACACCCTGTATATTTCTCTAATGTTCAAGAGTTCTGCTTGTTTCAATTCAGTTGCATTTTGAGTTGATGTACTCATGGCTGTTGAATTTCTAGCTGTCATTCTGGTCCTAACAACGACAAATCTATTCAACAATGTTCTAAAATTGTTCTATCCGTCATTTGGTTGCCTCCTTACGAGCAACCCTCAGAATTTTTCAAGAGCCTTGTGCGAGCAAGCAATGACGGGGGCTTTACCTTTTAACGTGTGATTTTAAACACCTTCTTGGGACATCAGAAAAAAATCTGCAGTCGTGGATTTGAACCCACGACCAGCACGCCTACGTGATTAGAATACTAACGCTCCTACCACGCGGCGACCTGGCACCCCTACCCATTCTATTCCCATTTTTCATACGATATTGAAATTATATATCTTTTCAGTTGGGTAGAGTGACCTTTGTGGAAAAGGACGAAAGTGTGGTTAACAAAAAAGACAAATATGCCAAACAAGAGCAATCATGTGATAATAATAATAGAGAAAAGTCGGACGAAGTTTGTGCGGCTTGTGACGTCACGGTCGACTCGGACCAACCAGACAGTGAGAATGCCGATGCGAGCACAGATGTTGGACATGACCAAGAAGATCAAAGCCAAAGCGCCCAGAATCAAGAAGTGATGTCGAGCGTTTTGGCTACGATGTGGATGGGAGACGAAAATGGAAATATATATGTTCATTCGTCCGTAGCTAATTGGGCTCAATGTTTGCATACTGTCAAATTGAAGGATTCCATTACAGCAATAGTGTAAGTCAAATACATCAGTGTATAATGCCTCGAATATCTTTTTTTGCCTTTAGAGAGTGTGGACATGCTTGCCACCACTGACATTTCAAAATTGTCATCATGTTCATATTTGAAACGTCAGTTCTGAAAATATTCTAAATATATCTTGTGCGGTAACATATTGCGAAAATTCTAAGAATTATGGTTAACATTTATTCGAGTTGCCCAAAGACGAGACGACATTTCATATATTCGCTGAAGCTTCAAATTCCAATATTCATTTCATGAAAATACATGGAATCACGCCAATATTAGGGTTCAAATAATAATATGTCTGCAATCGTTCAATGAGGGAGGGGTACAGAAAAATGAGATTCCATCTATTATAAAACATATTTGTGTCTCATGTTTTTTGTTCAGCTGTTTAACTATATGACAAGTGTGTCCACACTCTTTAAAGAGCGTAAAATGAGATGTTCGAGGCACTCTAATCAGACGTAAGATCATTCTATACTACATTCCAAATAAGAAGATGGTAGGGGGCGCTGCCTCTGCAGGCATGGTCACACTGGCGAAATAAGAATATGGCACCTAATTCGAAATTATGGCCATGCTATTACTGAGTATCACTTTAAGTTCAAGTTTGTTGTCTGGATTTATTTTAACATGAACTAATACTACAAGTAAATGAAATGTGATGATGATATCATCGTTTCACAAAGAACAGTTTCACCTTGAAGTCACACAATTATGCAGGTGTGATATTACCTCCAATATTAACCAATGAAAGCGAAGGTCAACGCTTCCCTATGGTTCACTACGTTGTCTTCTTAGTTGGAATGGACTATATTTTTCATAACCTAACAAGAAAGAGTAAACCCTGGTGGTCGAGTGTTCGTAAGGGAACTTCCACCGATGCATGGGTTCGAGCCCCACTTAGGCCATGGATGTTTGTGTATGTATGCTTTCTCAACCCCACTTTCGACTTATAAGACGTTGGTTCCAGTGCTAGAATGATAAGTCGGCTGGAAATTTCGACTGTCATCTGATAACGAAATAACATGTGTGTTACCTGGGGGTCTATTCTCGAGCGTTATTCATATACGAATTCGACCTTCTATTTCACTTCAACATACGTCACATACGTAAGTGCATCTTTGTTTATTCGTATACGAATCGAATTCGAACGGTTCGAGAATATAGACCCTGTGCCAATCACTAGCCTGAGCAGAATGATTGAGAAATGGCACTTTCCTGTGCGGCAATTTGCGCTAATGTCGTGATTTGATAAGGAGATAAGAATTATGCCATCCGATACCAATTGCATGGTAGATATCAAAACCCGATCTGTGTGGTCCACTTGAGACTATTGACCTTCAATTACTCTCAGAAAAATAATGTTTTTAAAAAACAACAACAAAATTCCGTTTGACGCAAAGAAGATGATACGTACTTCAACCCTCTACTCCTCAGAGCAACCTCCTCCATAATTTAAATAGGGAATAAGGATCATGCTATACATCATTCGAAAGGTAATTAAATTCTGACACTAGCAGTTCAAAGTTTTTTGAATTCTAACAAGCCGTTTTCAAGACATTCGAGTTCGAATAGTATACTGTTCTATTGTGATTGATTGAATGTACAAAATGAATTATTGAATGGTTGTCTACAACAAATGTTCAAAATTACCTCCAATGATTCCCAGACAGTGGTAGAGTCGCAAATTCCTCTTGCTCATTTGAAATGTTTCTCTAGTTATTGCCTGACATTCAACCCGCATTCTTCTTTCCTTATCGTCCAGATCAGTAAATTCCGTTTTATTATCGGATTTCGAATGACCCCAAAGAAACAATCATCGGATGTCATGTCTAGCGAGCCTGCTGGCCATTTTATTGGTCCTCTACGACCTATGCTGGTACCTACAGACCCGCCGCGTTTTAATTCGTGCCGCCGCTGTTTATTCGCGGAGTGTAGTGGGGAACGAGGGGAATAAGAAAGGTACTATGGGACTTCGTCAGTCTGTTTCCATCTGTTTACAGCGACGAGACGTTTTCATCCCCAATCCTGCCAGCGTCCTTTCAAAAGGTCGTTGAAGAAATCTTTATTTTTCAACAGTTTCAACTACTTGTATTGGTATGTTGATATAGTAGGATACCTTGGATATATTCTGCACATTATCGATACTACTACAACTCTAAATACTATTGATTGTTTTATCGAAAGTTCTAATCGTGCTCTCTTGAATAACTGGATGTAAGGATAATTGAATGATTAAAACTAAAATATATTGTCAATCATGGAACTCTGATTTAGTATAGTCAAATATTCATGCTCTGATCATTTATAAGTCATTTTACTAGCCCTACAAACGTCACCGTCTTTTTTAAGGCCAGTAGTCCATAATCATACTATTATAATTTTTAATTATTAGAAAAAACATTTGTCATTCAATGAATTGTTGAACGAAATTGAGCATTGCAATGATGATCATGCGAGACTATTAGACGCCATAGCTGTCTTTCCTCCAACCTACGCTAATGAAGATGTTACCGATGAAGCCTCCGGCGATGACGAAATAGTTACAATGGAGAACCTCCTAGGTGCTCTATCGAATGCTCATACTGAACCTATTTTCAATATCGATAATGGTAGCGAATAGCGATGTTAGTGTAGATGAAATTCCTATGTTTCATTTAACGAAATACAAGAAGATGTAAAGAGCTGATCGATTTGGAAAAGAATAAGTATTGATAATCAATGAAGGTCATTTTTGAGCATTTGTTGTGGATACGGCGCCTATTCAATAATCCATTCTTTACGTTTATTTAAAGACAACTAACAACATACCATATCTCGAGAACGCCTTGTTGGAATTGAAAAAACTTTGCACTGCTAGTGTCAGAATTAAGTGTATGATATATGTATAATGTATTTAATGATGTATACCACGACCCTTATTCCTATTCAAATTATTGAGGGGGTTACTCTGGGGAGTAGAGGGTTGAAGTATGTATTATCTTCTTTGCGTCAAACGAGGCCCCTCCAAATGAAAATCGACGTGTTTCGCTAATTATTGTTTTTGAAAGCATTTTTCTGGAGAGTTATCGAGGGTGGATGGTCTCAAACGGACCACCCGGTATGCCATTTCGTTATCAGATGACGGTCGAAATTTACAGCCGGTTCTTGGACTATACGAAGAAATTATCTAGTTCATTGTACTAAACTACTCAACACTAATTTCGTCGCACACCAAATTGTCGCCCCTGCTAAAATGTGAATAACTTTTTTCAGTTTAGAACAATTTGAATTTGGTTCACACTGTTTGATAGCCCAGTTTTTCAGCTATGATCTCGTACTTCATTGAAACATAAGGGTATTCACATAAAATCTCTACATGGTGTTTTCCGACACTGTGCGAAATTTCGGAATATTCAAAATGCTCTCAAATGGTGAAAAAAATTGTTTTCTCAACTTCGACAACAGAGGCATGAAGATGATCTCATTACCTCGAGATTTTTCGCGAATCAACTTATTTACAGAGTGATCTCAAAAAATCAACTTTTTGGTTTTGCAGCCATAACTTTTTTCCACGTCAACCGATTTTGGAAATCTTAGGCTCATTTTGAAGATAAAACTTTAGATGAAGAGATCTGGATATCAGAATTGACTCAAGATGGCAATCAAAGATCTAGAGTTTTCTTGAAAGTGACCCAAATCTGGAAGGCCCTCCGAATCTCGGTTGGGAGGAGAATTGAATGAAAATCAACTTGTTCTCGGAAAAACAATTCATTCTGGATGCGTCCATATTTTCCTACCTCTCACAAACACAATTGAAACATGTTCTTGCAAAAACATCAGACCATTTCTCCTCTGTAATGCATGGCCCGTAACCAACGTTACAAGAATCACAGTAAGTGACTGACAAGTCAGGTTAGACGTCGTTTTCGAATCATAAACAGATTTTGATAGTTTCGATGCCGCATCTAACGCCCGACCAGTTGGAACTGATTCCACAAATGAGGGAACAAGGGTTATCTTCCCTCCAAATCGCGGATCTGATAAACACGACAGTCCGATCCATTCAAAGGGCTTATCTCCGACACGAATTGTTTGGTTATTACTGTCGATTCGTTCGGCGCATTATTGCGACTGAAAACTTTACGTAATTGGCAAACTGTTTTCGTGAAACTTTCACCATTTTTGAAATGCGTTTTTGCAATAAATAAACGTTGTTTGCTTGAATACTTCTCCATATTCTTAAATCGCATGTTATGTACGTGACAACTGTTAATAAAATCACCTTATTGAAAAAATCAAAATCCGTTGCTCTTGTTGGTACACCATTTATGATCAGTCACTCATTGTGATTCTTGTAACGTTGGTTACGGCTGGCCATGCATTACAGAGGAGAAATGATCTGATGTTATTGCAAGGACATGTTTCAATTGTGTTTTCTCTCGCACAATTCTTGACTACTGAGAGGTAGGAAAATATGGACGCATCCAGAATGAATTGTTTTTCCGAGAACAAGTTGATTTTCATTCAATTCTCCTCCCAACCAAGATTCGAAGGGCGTTCCAGATTTGGGTCACTTTCAAGAAAACTCTAGATCTTTGATAGCCATCTTGAGTCAATTCTGATATTCAGATCTCTTCATCTGAAGTTTTATCTTCAAAATGAGCCTAAGATTTCCAAAATCGGTTGACGTGGAAAAAAGTTATGGCTGCAAAACCAAAAAGTTGATTTTTTGATATCACTCTGTAAATAAGAGAGATAGGAAGTTGATTCGCGAAATATCTCGAGGTAATGAGATCATCTTCATGCCTCTGTTGTCGAAGTTGAGAAAAAAAATGTTTTCACCATTTGAGGGCCTTTTGAATATTCCGAAATTTCGCACAGTGTCGGAAAACATCATGTATAGATTTTATGTGAATACCCTTATGTTTCAATGAAGTACGAGATTATAGCTGAAGGACTGGGCTATCGAACAGTGTGAACCAAATTCAAATTGTTCTAAACTGAGAAAAGTTATTCACATTATAACAGGGGCGACATTTTGGTGTGCGACGAAATTAGTGTTGAGTAGTTTAGTATTTCACCTGCTACTGTGTTAGCGAAACATGTCGTGTGATTATGAATTTTGTGGAAATCTTATCGTTTGTGGAGTTTTTACATTTGCCATGGATTTCCATGGAAGATAAATTATCATTCGCCGGAGTATAAACTTCTCTCCCTTTTTTTCCAGGCATATCAATGGAAGAGTCGTAGTAGCTTTGGCCTGTGGTCAAATAGCGATATTCAAAAGGAACAGAGACGGCGAATGGGATCTATCCCAGTACTACCTGGTACAGATCGGAGTACCGTACGTGTCGGTGCGTCAATTGGCTGTGGTAGGCGACAAGGTGTGGTGTGGCTACAAGAACAAAATCCACGTACTCCAACCCCATGACCTGAAAATCATCCACACGCTGGAAGCGCATCCTAGAAGAGAGAGTCCAGTAAGTCGGCATAGCTAACAGAAACAATTTGGCATAGTTCTAATTTAGGACCATGAGATCGCGACGTCATTGCTGTCAATGGGTCTGTTTCAGTGAACGATTTTATTTCATTATTTCGAAGTACTAACCCTAGCTAGTTCACTGTCGCAAACCGTTTTTTCCTTAGAGCTCTGTAACTTTTAAAATAATTATTGAGATTCCCGATTTTTCATAACATGAAAAACGTGGGAAAACGCGTGACGTAATTATCCGAGAACTCCATACAAGATTCGACCGTATCAATTCCCTATTTCTGATAGACAAGTAATAATAATCTTTATTATTCCCAAGAAACATATATGTTTTGATCAGGAAAAAATATTGAAAGAGCAACTAAAAAAAATAAATTAGATAATCAGATAATCATTTTTAACTCAAATACATAGTACATCTAATGTTTTTTCTTCTAGAGACTCTTGAATATAAGTTCTTGAATTGATTCAGGATGATATACGAGAATCAAAGACATCAGTATTTTTAGTTTTTTTTTTCAATTTCTCAACACTCAATTTTTTCTTCAGTCTGCCAAGTAATTCATTATAGAGAATTGTTCCATTGTATAAAATAGATCTTTTTCCCATATCTGATTTAATTTTGATGAGAGTTAACATATCTTTTTGTCTGCTAATGTGTTCGTATTTATGACTATTGACTTTGAAATTCAGATTTGAATGTTCATAATTATATTTGACGGAGTGTATAAAATTTAATATTTGGAATTTGTAAATGGAGATAATATATAGGTTTATAACGATTTCTTGTTGGTTCCAAGTAATCTAGCTTGTATATACATTTAATAACTCTGTTTTGAAGGATTCTGATTGGCTTCATAATTGATAACCTAGCTGTATCTCAAACTGAAATCAAGTATTGTAATTTTGAATATTTCTGATTGTCATTTCATTCAGAAAATGGAATGAATTTTCTGGATTGAACACTTATTGCAGATAACAGATAACACATCGCACAACTAAAGAATCATATAATATGAGGATTCTATTCAGAAATTCGCATCTTGTCTAGATGAAACAAGGATTTGACGATTAATATGACAGCAGTTTTTCTTCTTCTTATTTTGTATTCCTGGGAATTTACTCATTACCCTGTTGTCCGTGTCACATAATAATCTGGGATTAAATAAAATCTCGATCATTATCAGGAATACTAGGATATTTTTATTGGTATTGAAGCATCTTACAAGTATATAAGTATTCAATAAGTGATTATTAGGGACCAGGTCGAACTATTGTCTTCTGTGAATGTGAATACCATTGTCATTGGTCATAATGAATCTCAAAATATGTGGTCCTACTTTTTATGCGAAAGCCAGAATTCGGTTCATGACGTCATTGAACCTGGCGTTTTTCGAAGTCGCCGAATTAAATAATCGAAAACAAATGGCGCTGATTTTATATAACGAATGATTGCATCAAATACTATTTATACACTGAATGATCAATATAAAATAGGTATGTGGCGTAAATTCGACTAGTGTGTACAACCCCATTTAGGACCATGAGATCGCGACATACACTGACGCTGCCATTGCTGACAATTGGGGCAGTTCTGTTCATCCTAGATCTTAGTTATGAGATCCAGTTCAATCAACGATGTAAAGGAAGGAACGTTCCCTTCGTGCTGTGGCACGAACGAGAATTTTAAGCAATATCCCAACCAATCAGCGCGCTTCACCCGCTTGCTTTGATCCTGGTCAATCAGTGCGCGTGTATCGCATGTAATATCCCTTGTTTTCTTTTGGTATTTGATTTAGTCAACACATTCTCTTCGTTGGGTGAAAGCGAAATAAGTAAAGGGTAGTACATTTTTTGTTTTTCGCAGGAAATTACCTAGTTGTACAGGGTGATTCACCATAAAAATTCGAAATATCATCTTGAATGATTTTTGATAAAGTTTTTTTCCGCTAGATCAGAAAATACAGGGTGCTCGGAACATACGATCTACAGGGTACTATTTGATTTTTTTAAATCGCACACCCTATTTTTCATTGTATTTTAAGATTCTCCCTGGAGAGCTGATTTGATCAATGTATCACACTTGGGGTCTAGCGGGACTGATCACAGAGATATAGGGTGTTCAAAATCGAGATTTTTCAACTTTAGGATTTTTTTGTGGTCAAAACGGTTTACATGTTCGTTTCTTAACTTTTGATTCCCTATCTACTGACATTTAATAATTGGAACAGATACAGAGTGACCAGAATTCTGAATCGTGAACCACCCTGTAAATGTTCTAATTAAATGTCACTAGATAGTGAATAAAAAGTTGGGATGGGAACATAGGAGCCGTTTTGACCAATAATGAATAGTTTCGGCACAAAAAAATCCTAAATTTGAAAAGTCTCGATTTTGAACCCCCTTTATCTCTGTAATCATTCCCGCTATTCCCCAAGTGTGATGCATTGATAAAATCAGCCCTTCAGGAAGAATCTAAAAATACAATAAAATACAGGGCGTTCCATTTAAAAAAATCAATTAATACTCTGTAGATCGTTTGATCCGAGCACCCTGTATTTTCTGATGCAACGAGAAAACAAATTCTGAAAAATCATTTTAGATCATCTTTCAAATTTTAAAATCGGTTCAAAAATAAGTGAGCTCGGGGGGGGGGACATTTATGGTGAATCACCCTGTACTTGATTTTGATTTATATGTGATTTTTCTACAAACGTCAAAAAATGACAAGGCGAAGTACAAATCTCGCGCATTGCAAACTATATGATATTTTTGTATTATAACCTTTATAGTCCTCAATCTAGTAAACATCCAAAAACTCATTTGTTTCTAAATGTTAAACAACAATTAAGGCTTCTTGAGCCAGTTCAACACAATTTTTTATATTGAGCTAAGCATATTTGCTACTTTAGAACTATGTTTTTTGCCGTTTTGTAAAAAAATGTGCGCGAAAAAATGTGATGATCTGGACTACCAAAGTAGCATATCGCGCACTGGGTACAAAAATAACTATTGTATTCAAATAAATATGCCCAGAAGAAAATGTGAGGGATGTGATTTCTCTCTTCATGAAAACGAAATTTTATAATTGTGATTACAGCCGGCATGCCACAGGAATGGCAAATCATTTAATGAAATGTGTAAAATGTCCCGAATCCCTATGGATCAAATGATACTGGAAGACAATAACATTGTTGTTCTAGAGTGGTTTACTTGTAGTACCACTTTGCGGCGTTGTAGACGTAGGTGTCTACACGTGTTGACTCTAGATGGCAGCGTCATACAGTCTACGTCGCGATCTCATGGTTCTACCTTAGAACCACTGCCACTGTATGCCGATAACATGACTACACCATAATGTCTACCAAATGGGTGATATACTCAAAGCGTAGAGTTCTCCTAGTTGTCAGCAAACCGAGAGCAGCTGATGAGGCATAGTGCACCGAAACAGTACTGCGTCGCTCCTGCTGACAATTGGAACAGCTGTGTCCATCCTAGATCTCTTAGCTATGAGATCTACTTCTATGACATAATTTTGATATGTGATTCCATGTCAAATCGAAATGTGGAGTTGTGTGTTCGAGAATACAATATGAAATGTCCTAGAAAGCGATATCCTAACCTACAAATAATTTTGTCTGCAGGATGCAGCCAAACAATTTGGTTATTAAAAATTCAATATTCATTTATGATATTTTGTGGTGGCTGAAACCGAAAAGTCATTTCTAATGACGCCATCGAATTGATATGACTGCTGAAATTTCTGCCCACCGAAAGGTAGTCATAAATCTGTCAACTGAAAACATTTTCAGATTATATTTGTGTTTTTTGACTGCATATTTTAAAGTCTGGTCGATTTATGATCATCGAAGGCATTCAAATAAGAAAGATGAATTTTGTTCAGAACATTTTGAAGCTGCTTCATTCATTTACATTTTTAATCATGGACCATAGTTCCATATTTTTGTTCCAAACTACCAACCGAGTGTTCTTGATGATTCTCTTTGAACTTCCATTTTTTTTATTCGCCTGTATAAAACCGAAGAAATTCCTCACAGAAAGAATTATTTATTTTTAGGTCCGACAAATGGCGTGGTTGGGCGAAGGTGTATGGGTGTCAATTAGGTTAGATTCAACGCTGAGGTTGTATCATGCTCACACCTATCAACATCTACAGGATGTTGACATAGAACCATATGTTAGTAAAATGTTGGGTGAGTGAGTATTCTGAATGAACCTTTCATTATAATTTATTGATGATTCATTAATATTTGTTCATTGATATAATTTGTTCATTAATGTACTTAATGTACTTTTCACACTTAAGTTTTGTGGTTTTTCTATATTCGGAGTATAGACATTAGATGAGAAATCAGGGAACCGACAGTAAGCGAACGTAGATGACATCAATTTCATAATTTCTTTTAGATGCACTATGAATTTTTCTGTTGAGAACATCTAAAAGATAGGGTATACAAAAAAGACCACAAAATTTGAATAGTCTGAGAGAGTATACGAATCGACTCTTACTCCATAAATGTTGAATAATACTATAGGTGAATTTTATGACAGGATTGATTATTGTTTGGCAAATAATGGTCAACATTTCCAACACTCAATACGTTAAGTCTTTTTTATTTTCTCTTTCAGTTTACCAAGACCTATTAATGTTTGTTTTAGGGTTATTTAAATATAATTCAGTTAATTAATTACCCTACCATTACTAAAATTCGATTCAAGATTCGAACTTAATCAATAATGTTTGATTTACTTCAGTTCAAAAAAATGTGTAACTTCGTGGTATCAAATGAAATGCGAAAAATTTAAAAAGGGAGTTTATATGAATACTTTAGTAAGATTTAGCGGAAACAACTGTAAATTTGACAACGTTGTAAATGGTATTTTTATATCAGATTTGCCAGCAGATATCAAATAAATTAATTTCCATTGTAATATTGCCACGATCTCTTGAGATATTGAAATTTTGTTTTATAATTTCAACGAAATGTTGAATTACCATATTAACAAAATTTAGGGAAATAAAAATTTGATATTATAGGGACATAGTGATTTGAACACGACAAATCGAATGCGCTAAAAATAAACATAGCATTACATTTGAAAAAATGAAGTTGGGGGCTTTATAGGAAAAAGTGTGAAATTGGCAACGTTGCAAATATTATTTTTAGATCCGGCACTACTGATAACCCTCGTATATCAAATTTCATAACTTTATGTCAAGCCGTTGCTGAAATATTCGGCCGTTCCGGTTCTTTTGGGAAACCCTGTATATTATATACAAATGCTTGAAAAGTTTGAAAGCGAAAACAAGGTGAGTACATCAGGATTGTATCAATGCAACGCCCTAAAGAGGGTTTAGTTATAATTATTTATGGTTTATTGATGAGTTTGTGGAGTCGGGGTGAGTTTCATGTGTTCATGGTTAAATGATTTTTTACCCATTTTTTGAATTGGATAAAATTCGAAGATTTAACAGCTGGTGGTAAAACATTAAAAAATCTGACATTCATAGAATTCGCTCAGTGACAGATAGTCTGAATTTAGGAGTTCTGAGTTTACTTGATGCTCTCGTAGCATGATTATGGACATCAGCATTTTTTGAGAACAGAGCTATATTAGAAAAAGTTTCCAGTAGAGTTTGGTATATAAAAACACAAGGTATTGGTAGAATTCGGTATTTTTTTAATAGTGGCTGACAGTGTGCATGGTAGGTTGCACCTTCAATGATTCTTAGTGCCTTTTTCTGAAGCCTAAAAACTCTAATAGCGGGTGTTGCGTTACCCCAGAGAATAGTACCATAGTTGAGGTGCGAGTGAAAGAGAGAATGATTGAGAGATAATAATATTGGAATACTCAATTTTTTTTTTAATTGTGTCAGCAGAAATAATTTATTGGAGCGTTTACTGCATTGTTGGTCAATGTGGGCAGACCATTTCAGCCTGTCGTTGACTGTATTGTTTGACGTTAAATTGTTGTTGGAAGAGAAAACATTATTTTGGGTTTTTTCTTGATTCAGTTTGAGATTATTTGTGCTGAACCAGGTATAAGCTTTATTTTTTGCTTGCTCGGTAAGATTCAACCTGTCGTCTAATATGATACCTTAGAGGTTGACTGCATTGTTTGACATTAAATTGTTGTTGGAAGAGAAAACATTATTTTGGGTTTTTTCTTGATTCAGTTTGAGATTATTTGTGCTGAACCAGGTATAAGCTCTATTTTTTTCTTGCTCGGTAATATTGTTAATTGTGATAGGGTTAGAATGTGCTTCAATCAATGTCGTGTCTTCAGCGAAGCAAATTCACCCAGAAGGGGACAAGTAGTGAAAAATGTCGTTGAGATAAATGATAAATAATAGTGGTCCCAGCGCACTTTCCTGTGGGACACCATGGTTAATTTTCTGAAAATCAGAGAAATTGTTTTCGATGGCAACACACTGAATTCTGTTATCCAGATAGGATTTTAGCAGTTTCAGAGGTACTCCCCTCACGCCATAGAAGTTTAATTTATGGAGTAATTTTTCGTGCGATACACAATCGAAGGCCTTGGATAGGTCACACAAGGTGATTTCAGTGTGTTTACCATTCTCAAGGCCCTCGACTATCTTCGCCACAATACAGCTTACAGCCTGAATCGTGGAGCATTTTGACCGAAAACCAAACTGTCCTTTATGGAGAGTGTTATTTTTATAAAAAAAAAACGCAACAATCGTTCCTTCAAGATTATTTCGAAAATCTTTCCGATAATCGGGATTATCGAGATGTGTCGGAAATTTGTGGCCAGATCTGTGCCAGATCCGGGTCACCTTTTTTGTATATTGGGAGTACCTTCGCAATTTTCAGTTTGTCAGGGAAGATACCATGGAGGAAACATAGGTTACATTTTTTTTAAGTTCTGGTTCCCACGAAAAGGAATATCCAGTAATGTTCAGAGAACATCGTGAGAACCAAAGGAAATGAGGTAGGAATTGGTGTTCTTCTTGAATTACTGGAGGTTATATGCCTCGGGGAACACCTCCCTTGGCAATGTGTTCCAGAGCCTCGTTGTTCGTCGGATGAACGAGTCTTTGAAAAGAGATGTTCTGCAGGTCTCCTAAGTGACCACGAAGGGGTGCGAAGCCTCAACTCGACGGGTTAATCTCGCAGGGACTGCCAAGGGGGGAAAAATTGTTGTTATTTCAGAAGAGCATCGTTCATGAAAATATCTATAAAATAGAGCTAGATCGACAACTTTTTTACGGTGATCCAGAGAAGTGAGTGAGTTTTTGAGCGAGGCATCTCCCTCGAGACGAATTGCCCTTTTTTGGACAGAAAATCCAACAGTTTCAAAGTATGTTTGGGTGCTGCACTCCAAATATGGGAACAGTATTCCAGGACAGGTCGGATCTGTGCCTTATATATCATAAGCAGCTGCCTGGAAGTGAAATAGCTCCTGGCACGAAACAGAAAACCAAGTTTTTGAGATGCACTTTTCGCAATTGATCTTACGTGATTTTCCCAAGAAAGGTTATTGCTGATAGTAATACCAAGAATCGAAATGGATGTCTTCAAAGGTATGGTTAGTCCTGACATGCTCATGTTTGAGATCGGCTTTTCTAGAGAAAAGGCATGCTTGTGTTTTGTTTGCATTGAAATCAACCAAGTTATTGGACCCCCCCCCCCCATTCGAGAATTGTTGCCAAGTCCATATTTATGTCGTCAACATTTCTCCCTCCTTCGTTTCTGATTTGCCTGGCTGGTATTGGAGCCCTGGAAAAGAAGGCGGTGGTTTGGAGGGTACTATCATCCGCGCAGCTGTGTACTGGACATGAAGTTGCTTCCAACAAATCGTTGATGGAATAGAAATAGTGTTGGTGCTAGAATTGATCCTTGCGGAACATTCATGATAAGAGAGTCAGATGAAACACCATCGACCACTACATGGAGAGACCTGTTTGAGAGAAAACTAGCTAGCACTAGCAGAGAACATAGCTGGGGAGGCAAGCCATAAGATGGAAGCTTGTCGAGGAGTCCGTGGTGCCAGACTCGATCGAATGTCTTGGATATATCAAGTGCTACGGCTAAGGCTTCACCATATTTTTCAATAAATTGCTGCCATATATGTGAGACGTAAGCGAGCAGGTCACCAGTTGATCTCTGATGACGAAAGCCATATTGCCTATCGTTGATAATACCTGAATGTTCCAGGTATTTCATGAGCTCGATGTTGATAGCTTTCTCCATGATCTTCGAAATAATATAGATAGGAGTGCGATCGGTCTGTAGTTGCTAGGTAGGGTCTTTTTGCCTTTTTCAGGAACTGGTTGTACTCCTGCAATTTTCCAGTTGGACGGGAATATCCCCAATTTGTAAGAGTAGTTGAACAACTTGCAGAGAACAGGTGTTAGGTCGGGAGCACATTTCTTGAGAACAATCGGTGGGATTCCGTCGAAGCCACTAGCTTTGTTGGTGTTGAGACCCAATAAAATCTTCCTTATAGCACGTTGGCGAAAGGTGAACTCGGGCATATGACTGTCAATTGGCGTTATGTTTTGAGATTGTTTTCCCGATGAATCCAGAGTGGAATTTCCAGCAAATGAATGCGCAAAAATGTTGGCTTTCCCTTGGGCAGTTGTGGCTAGTGTTCCATCTTCCTTGATTAGAGGAGGAAACGAGCTGGAAGTGAAGTTTCTTCCTACAGCTTTGGTGAAGGACCAAAATGAACGGGATCCGTTAGGACATTCAACAAGTTTCGATCTTATTCTGTCATTTTTTCTGGATTTTTCTGCCATCGATGGAATAGCGACAGCTCTAGAGCAGTTTCTACTGAACCAGGCCTGTGGCGAAGACAGCTGTTGGTAACTGCTACCAACGAGTTTTCGAAGGAGTGGCTCACCAGGGAGTTGAAGAACATCAAACCCTGGAAAGACGCCACTCTTATTGTCATGGACCCAACAAGGCTCAAGCTACGCCGGGCAATGTTGTGGATCCCTGGCAAAAGGTTTCTGCCTAACCAGGAAATCCTCAAGAGACTGGGGAAGCAGAATCCAAGCCTCTCGGTATCTCCTTGGAGAATCTGGGAGAGGAAAGAGGAGAAGCAAGGACTTCGCCTCGTGGTGGGGATGGACGAAGAGGAGTCTATCAGGCTTCTCAGCCTGATGAACTTCCAGCCCTACTACAGTGCGACACAGGCAACTGTGACTATCCTTGAAGGGCCTATGGCTCAACAAAGAGTGTCTAGGGGTACCGATCAAGGGACCTCCGGAACCCAGACCAGGCGAGTTGTGCCCGCTGCCTCGGCCCCCCAAACCGGAGGAACCTCACGAGGGATCTCTGAAACGGTGGCCGAGGAGGCGCGTACAAAAACGTTAGTCGTGGGTGAAAGAGGAACTGCTGAGGTCGGGGCTCCTAAACCTGAAACTGGAGGATCGTCAGACGACACCTCCAGGAGCGACATGGTAGGAGGAACTCCCTCGAGGACCTCCTACCGGTCAGAGTCGCCTATGAGCGATGAGGTCCAACCAATGGAACTCGGAGTGGTGACTGAGGAACCCGAAGGGGGACCTCAGTCAGACCAATAACAGTAGGCCGAGCTGACGAAGGCGGGCGATGGAGCCAAGCTGCGGAGGAGCCACAACAAGTAAGTTCATTTATGTCTGTAAATGTCCTACAAATAAACTTACAACATGGGAAAGCCCCAACGGCCCTGGCATGCCGAAGGATCCGAGAGTGGGACATAGATATCCTACTAATACAGGAGCCTTGGACATACCAGGGCAAGATAAGAGGGCTGGGAATGGGCGGAGGAACGGCCCATTACTGTGCCTCTGTCGATACCAGCCCCCGGGCGTGTATTTATACAAAAGGCATGAAGGTCTTCCCTGTCCCAGGATTCTGTACCAGAGACCTGGTGGCGGTAGAGATCCTCATGCCGTTAAATGGTCGCACCCAGGAGGTAGTAGTCTGCTCAGCGTACTTTCCGTACGAGACAGCTGCTCCGCCTCGGGATATCGAATCGTTAGTACGATATTGTGAGGAATCTGGGAAGGGGCTTCTCATCGGCTGTGACTCGAATGCCCACCATATCCTGTGGGGCAGCCGGGACACGAACCCGAGGGGAAGTGCTCTGCTCGAATTCCTCACCACCAGTAATCTGGAAATCATAAATGAGGGCTCAGTACCTACTTTTTTCACGCCTAGGCGGCAATCTGTTATAGATCTTACTCTATGCACTCGAGATATGTTGACCCAGGTTCATTCATGGAAGGTGTCACAAGATGAATCTCTATCAGATCATCGACACATTCTGTTTACGCTGGGGGGTACAAGCGCTCCAGAAAAAGAAACATATAGGAACCCTCGTGCCACCAAGTGGGACCTCTTCCGGGAGGAACTCAAAGGAAGGCTTGTGGGTTTGCCATCAAAGTACGGGAGTGAGGCCGAAATAGATACAGTGGTGTCGTATCTTAATAAGGCCATCACGTCCTCGTACGAAAACAGCTGTCCACTTAAAGACAGGGCTACCAATGCCAGAACGCCATGGTGGAATTCAGAAATAGAAAACCACCGCAGGCTCACAAGAAAGCTTCTAAACAAAGCGAAACGTACCAACGTACCGCAACACTGGGAAGAATATAAGTCTGCCCAGAGAGCGTACAAGAAAGCCATTCGGCAAGCACAAAGAGACAGTTGGCGTGCCTACTGCGGAGAAATAAACACAATTTCTTCAGCGGCAAGGATATGCAAAGTTCTCTCCAAAGAACCGGGAAGAGGAGTGGGCGTGCTGTCTCTGTCAGATGGTCGAGAAACCACAACGGCAGAGGAAACATTGCAGCACCTCATTTCCACACACTTTCCGGATTCAGAAATAGCCAACGAACCACCTTTGAGGACGAGCCCAGTGAGAAGAACTCACATGGACTATCAAACGGCGTCAAAGGTGGTTACATACGAGAAGGTGAGATGGGCTGTAAAGACATTCGCACCATTTAAATCACCAGGGGAAGATGGAATATTTCCGGCCCTCCTACAAGAGGGACTGGACACCATCATTTCCCTGCTTATGAAGATATTTCGGTCCTGTCTGGCTCTGGGCCACATACCAGTGGAATGGAGATCGGTTAGGATCGTATTTATCCCGAAACCAGGGAAAACAGATTATTCCGATGCCAAAGCGTATAGACCCATCAGCCTCACGTCTTTCCTCATGAAAACACTGGAGAGGCTGATAGATCGATACATCAGAGATGTGCCACTGCAAATAAACCCGCTGCACGCACAACAATATGCCTATCAGACTGGGAAGTCCACAGATGCGGCTCTCCATCATCTTGTCCACAAGATAGATGGAGTGCTAGCTGGTGGACGCTCAGCCATGGGAGTCTTTCTAGACATAGAAGGAGCATTTGACAATACGTCATTTGAATCGATATGCCACGCCGCGGATAGACATGGGGTCCACCAAACCTTGACCAGGTGGATTAGGGCCATGCTATCGCAGCGAGTGGTAAAAGCAGAACTATGTGGGAGGTCGGTTGCTGCCAAGGTATCAAGAGGATGTCCTCAAGGAGGGGTTTTATCACCACTACTATGGTGCCTGGTAGTAGACGAGCTCCTCATAGATTTGAATAAGCCAGGGCTATATGCGCAAGCATATGCAGATGACTTGGTAATAATGGCCCAAAATCAATCGGCGAACCGGCTAGGAAATCCAATCATGGAAGCCCTCAATAAAGTGGAACAGTGGTGTTCCACCAGTGGATTAAGAGTCAATCCAGAAAAGGCGAACTTGGTATTATTCACTAAGAAACGCAAAATAGGAACACTTCCTGAGATATTTCTCTCGGGAAAGTGTCTCCAATATAAAAGCTCATCAAAGTACCTTGGAGTTATAATAGACTCCAAGCTCACTTGGAATGAGCACATTGCAAACCGCACTAAGAAGGCTGTATGCTGCTTCTGGGCATGCAGACGAGCCTTTGGAAAAACATGGGGTCTCACACCTAAGACCCTTCACTGGATATACACGGCAGTAATACGCCCAACACTTACGTACGGGTCCATTGTATGGTGGACTAGTACCAATAAGGGCAAGACCAATAGAGAACTGGATAAAGTCCAGCGACTGGCCTGCCTGGGAATAACAGGTGCTCTGATAACGACGCCTACCAGGGCTCTTGAAGTTCTGTTAGGTCTGCCGCCTCTACACCTGTTCATACAACACGAAGCCATGAGAACTGCTTACCGACTCAACGGTGCAAACCAGTGGGTCGGAACAGAAGCAGATCAAGGCCACTCCCTCATATGGAATAAGGCAAAGGAAAACTGTCCCATCCTCATGATGAGAAGGGATAACACCTTGCCAATTCTGAACTTTAACAAAGCCCCAAACACTGTCATCCCTACGAGGGAAGAATGGAATGATACAACACCTGGCGTGCCTCCTCCGAATGAGTCAATCTGGTACACGGATGGCTCAAAATTTGGGGGCGGTTCAGGTGCAGGGGTACACAATGAAGGAACAGGGAAAGAAATTTCAGTTCCTTTGGGCGAATATGCCTCAGTGTTCCAGGCAGAAGTACTTGCAATACTCACCTGTGTCCAAGAAAACCTAATTATGAGAGGTCATAGACCAATCACTATATGCTCGGACAGCAAAGCTGCAATACTGGCTTTGCAATCCAATAGGATCACATCCAATTTGGTGTCCGAGTGCAGAAAAGCCTTGGAAAACCTGGCAAAATCAAGAAAAGTCAGCCTCATGTGGGTTCCGGGACATTCGGGAATACCCGGAAACGAGGAGGCAGACAGACTGGCACAGATCGGTTCAGGACGGACCCCGGTCGGACCGGAACCAATCTTGGGAATACCAAATAGCCTGGCAATGTCCTCTATAGAGGAACAGCTGCAAAAGCAATTCCTCAAAATATGGAAGGACACACCAGGAATGAGACAATCGAAGCTCCACATAAAGGAACCTTCGAAGAGGCTCGCAAAAGAGGTTTTATTCCTAAACAGGCGAAACCTTAAAATGGTAGTGGGGCTCCTAACGGGGCACAACCACCTCAATAGGCACCTAGAGCTTATTGGGATCAAGGATGACCCCCTTTGCAGATGGTGCCTGGAAGATGACGAAACGTCATCACATGTCCTCACTGAGTGTCCAGCACTGACGCATCAGAGGAAGGCTGTCCTTGGCAACATAATCTTGAGGCCAGAGGACGTAAAAGAGATTCAGCTGAGGAAGCTGCTGAACTTCTCCAAGGCAGTCGGCATACCCAGCTGAATGTTGTAACATGTGGGCGCACAATAGGCCCGAATAAGGAGGCCCACGTGCAGGGGGTTCACCCGCCCACCAGTGCTTCGAAGAAGAAGAAGAAGAAGAAGAACCAGGCCTTATCGGAAGATATCCTCCTTGCAGTGTTCGGTATGTAGGTTTGCATCCCCAACATGATGATGATTTCAAAAATAGGATAACTAGGGGTTCAATTAGCAGGGTCGCTGTCCCCTTTATGATTTTACTGTTCAAATAATGTATATCAATGCAGTTGGAGTTTTTTAGTGAATTTATTGCAGCCTTCACCTCTTCGTGGTTCACTGGACCTAATAAAAATGAATCAGATAAAAACATCTGCGATCCCTTCGTTCCAGGCACCGGCAAACTAGGCTTCTCCCTGGTCCGCATCACCAGTCTCCTCATCTCCTCCAACCGCCTGTGGATCGGCACCAGCAACGGCGTCATCATCTCGGTGCCGCTCTCCGACGCCGTCCACCCGGTGGGCTCGACGTACGGGCGCGGGGCGGTCCTGCAAGGCGGCGCTGCGCGTGGGCAGCCGCTGCCGCCCGGCAGCTTCGTGCCCTTCTGCTCGATGGCGCACGCGCAGCTCAGCTTCCACGGCCATCGGGACAACGTCAAGTTTTTCGTCGCAGTGCCCGGCAACGGAGGTAGAGTGGTCGCGTGTAGGCCTGGAAAAAAAATCGATAAATATATCGATATATCGAATAACAATAATTAATTTGAAAATATCGATATATCGTATAATAATAATATCGATATATCGATTTATTGATATATTGAAATATTGGTATATTATGATATAATAGGAAATATCGGGGAGTTCAGTCAATCGGGCTACAAGCAAACTAGGACAATTTTGTTAAGTTACAATTGGAAGAAATAGAAAAATATCGAGAACTAAAAGTTGTAATAGAACGTTCAAATGTGTAAAATTGGAATAGAAACAACTTTTATCACTGAACTTTCTTGAAATTCGGAACAAATAAGCTTATTTTCAGCGATTAATTTGAAAAATTTTACGTTTGAAATGTAGCGAAAATCTCGTGACGCCGATCGATTAGGCCATTTTAAATATTTCTTGAAGCAAAACTTGACGTCCAAGTCGAATTTCAAAATACATTTTTATTTTTTTTCCCATACGATGCCAACTTTTTGAATGACACTGTATGTCATATCTCAGCAACCCGAAAATCTTGGAACACGCTTCTGCTCAATGCACAGGAACAACCAAACTGTCGTTCATGACATCTAGTCATGTCTCTTGATGTTCGGAAGAATGAGTAAGAGTGAATAAGATATATGACAGGTTCGCATGATTCATGTTCTCCATTTTGAGTGGCATAGCTTCTTTCTTATGGCATTCATGGTTTAGATAGAAGTTATGCGAGTGTATACCAGGCGACAACGAAATCAATGGCTAATGGTCATTCAGTTATTTTTTATGTTAGACTTTTGACATTCGGAGCGAAGATATAGTTCCTTAGAACCCATATTTTCCATGGAACAACAATTGAATATCACTTCCAGTTTTACCGGAAATATACCGAGATCGAAAATGTTCACCTGCCGGGTGATTGTCACAGGTGGCTCACCCCTATAACTTTTTTATTATTGCAGGTATGGAAACTTAATTTGAGGGTTGTGAATTATATTTCAATTGACTTTTTTTACATGTCTACTTGCTTCACCGTACTTATTAAGGTTATTTCGAAAGATTGCGAAGATATTTACATGCATTCGAAATTTCCATATTATGCTCAATGGGTGTGACGGCGTAATATCGAAAATTCTTTCTCCGTCACACTTATCGAGCATATGGAAACTTCGAATGCAAATATCTTGATCGTTCGAAATAACCCTATCAAACCGGGTATCGTTGAATTCGTTGAAATACCTAATCGAGTACAGCGTGTCCCATTTAAAAATCAAAAGTTAATTGGACTATGATTCACCGCCCCCAAATTACGTTTCACTACCTTCAATAATAAAAATGTCATTGGGGTGAGCCACCTTGGAAAATCACTCGGTATACATACATATTTTCACACCATTCGATAGCGAAAAATTCCCTTTTTATTGGTATATCAGAAATGGGAGATTAGTTTACAAAATGACGGCACAGAAGACCTTTTTTTTATATCAATATGGCGACACTGTGGCGTCATTGATCGAATGTTCGAAATTTAATTCCTCTTAGATACTTGAAGAATATATACAGTGCGTTCATAAAGTGTGGAAACGCTCCATTATCTTACGATATAATTATTTTCAGAGGTAAAGCTCGGACAGGTCGATTTTGTATTTCAGTCTACCATCTTTTTTTACAAAAAAATATTTTTTCCCCCACCACCTTACAAGATATGACGTCATCGATATTTTTTTTTAAATTGAAAGGGTATATTTTTATATCAAAAATTGAAAGCCCATATTTTTCTGAGTTCAACCATACCACATACGTCATATCTTACACTTCAAGTTACAGTATACTGAGTATAAAAGAAACCAGTGTTCATATTTCTCAACATTCATTTAATTATTTATTTGCAATGAAAATATCATAAGAAGTAGTGAAAATAAACAAATAACAAATCTACTTCATTTCCACTACTTCTTATGATATTTTCATTGCAAATAAATAATTAAATGAATGTTGAGAAATATGAACACTGGTTTCTTTTATACTCAGTATACTGTAACTTGAAGCGTAAGATATGACGTATGTGGTATGGTCGAACTCAGAAAAATATGGGCTTTCAATTTTTGATATAAAAATATGCCCTTTCAATTTAAAAAAAATATCGATGACGTCATATCTTGTAAGGTGGTGGGGGAAAAAATTATTTTTTTGTAAAAAAAGATGGAAGACTGAAATACAAAATCGACCTGTCCGAGCTTTACCTCTGAAAATAATTATATCGTAAGATAATGGAGCGTTTCCACACTTTATGAACACACTGTATATCTGATCTGTCTGATTTACTCAATATTTAATATCGATTTGGGAAAGCACAAGTATATCAATTTACATTACCTGGAACTATAGGCTAAAAATTTGTTTTATTCATAGCATGTTGCTGATGTCAAAATAAGAAGAAAAGTTCGTATAAACATATGTCCGAAAGTTGTTTTTGGGTGTATGATAAATTGATATTCATCATACAGGGCGTGGAAAGAAATTCTGAATTGAGACTCTATCACGAATCTGTGATTAGAGAGGTCTATAAAAATGACAAGTTTCCATCGTTCAAGTTTGAACCCTTTGATTGGTTATGAAAGTGTTGAACGTAATTCGTTTCTGAGATACAGAGTGTCAAAGTTGAATTCTTATTTTTGTTTTTTGGTGATAAATTTCAAAATAATTGTCATATTCGAATGAAGTTTGGTATCTAGGGGTACTTTCAATGACAATATCAAATTTTATGTTAGTTTGTCCCTTTCGTGGGAGTGGCGCCTCCTACATGGCTTTTCAGTCTTTTGAAAAGTCATAACTTTTTTGTGAGTACCTGTATAACGTTTAATAGTAGAAAAATAGATTTCTACAACACTTTTCTGTAAAAAATATATTCTTGGTAGAGGTCGCTGCGAGCAACTGTTTTCGAGATATTGGGATTTGAAATTATCAAGGCAAGTAATTTGGAATGACAAGTAGTAGGAATTCAAAAGTGATTTATTAAGTGAGGGAAATTATTTTTCTTTAATTTCATTAAAAACTAGGAATCGGGTGTAATTACAATTTGATACGAATAATTAAGACCAAATTGATACTGGAACAGTTAGTTGAGAAAGCTTGGACCACAAGTACAAAAGACAACAGTACAACAAGTACTCACTTGATTGTTATTTTGTTATTTTTTCAAATTGAAAGAGCCCAAAAAAGTAGGTAGGTACAAAGAAGTAAAAATTAGCTTTTGCCTTGAATGAAAGAAAAAAAAAAGCACTGGCGTATCTTTTCTGATATTCACTACTTAGAGGCGACTTACGAGCCCCATGGAAAAGTTATGACTTCAAAAGACTCAAATGACATGTAGGTGGCGCCACCCCCACGATGACGTCATTATGACGTAGTTGCCTCCCACGACCTTCACCTAAATATTCTAACCGGGTTCATGCTTGGTACCTTCGTTCATTGGACTATTTCTAAAATGAGCAAATTTGTATTTACAGGCATGAGTGCAGCTTCCACACCATCTGAAGCAATGCCTAATACAGTGTCATGGGGGGAGAACTCGAAAGAACCTTCAGCTATGTTGGTTATTTCAGGGGGAGAAGGATATGTAGACTTCAGGATCGGTAAGATTCACGATTGTTTTTTGTTAATGTGTTTAGAATACGGCAGTAGATGCATGCATGTACTTCACTTATTCAGCTTGTTGACTTTTTGTTTGTTTGTCTAAAATAAGAGGATTCCTGGGAACAGAAGGTAGTTGTACAAAAATGTGGTGTAAATAACTGGTATTACTAAGGTCTCGACAAAATTTACTAACACTTGTTGTCATGTATAATAACATCTATAATATCTGTGTTTACTTCCAGGATTTTTTCACTTCAGAAAAATGGCGTTTTTTCGAAATAATAATTGTTCAAGATATTTCATAAAGAAATAACATGGTCATAATGAGAAACTATTCAATAGTTTTAATATCAATAAGACTGATACTAAAGGTTTCGTTTTCATGAATACAGGATGAAACAAAAAACCTCAGCTACTGAAATCATAGAGAAAAGTGCTTGTTCCTTTTAATATTGGTCTTTGTTCACTGATATAATAAGAATTTGTACTCATTCCATTTGCAATGTTACATTATTGATCCTTATTATTATTATTTTTACTATTATTATTAACTACTTCCTTATACAAGAACTTGTTCTTGACTGGAAGATATACTTTCGATAAATACATGAATAGTATTAGTAATGGAGTGGATTTTTCAAAATCTAAATGAATTCGCCTAAGAAAATCATTGAATTTTTCTGCCTGCTTGTAAATAGCTTTTTGGGAGAAGAATTTCAAGGGACAACATTTGAGTAGGTATAGACATTCTACAATTTCTACGTCAATCTTAAAAATTAGTGTATCTGCTGCCAATTCCTCTTTTCTTGAGACATGAATTTATTCTATACAGGGTGTCTGTAAAAGGTTGGGACATGGCTGGGCTGTGGACTCCTGGGATAAAAACAAGTTGATTTTAAGGCCAACTTACCTATATCCAAAATCGTTGAGTTGGTACGAGGTGTTGAACTTTTTTTGAAAAAAAAAATAATTTTGCTCATAAAAAGAGTAGGCTGAGATCGATTTTCATAATTTTTGGCATGTTTTGTGACTGTGAGTCACGTTTTGAGATGTTTTTGATCATCATCATTGACCTGCAAGTGTTTCAAACAACCATGTTGCCGTACAAATTTGGTGATAACTTTCCAGAGGTCGGACTGGAAACTTAATGTTTTTTTTTCCAGAAAGATATTCCCTTCATAAATATTTTTTGTGTCGTGTTAATTTTCGATAAGTCTCGAGGTTCATTTGCAAATAAATAATTTCTGATCTGAGGCATATCTTATGCATTTTTTAGAAAAATTATCTGGTTGGGACTTGGCTTGACTGTAGACTCCTGGGATGAAAATAAGTTGATTTTAGCCAAAATCGTTTCATTGAGTTGGTACAAGGCGTTAAAGTGCTCACCTTAGGTCCTGAATAGTTATCGCTAAATTTGTAACGCGAGAGTTCTTGTAATGCCCGCGAGGACCAGCAACATATCAGTTTGTTAACAATAAGAATATATTGTGCCATGATCAATAAATAGTCCGACTAATTAGATTAATTTTCAAAAATGCGCAGGTTGCATCATATCAGAAATAATTCATTTGCAAATGAACCTCGAGACTCAAAAATTAACACGATACAAAACATATTTCTGGAGGGAATATCTTTCTGGAAAAAGAAACTGGAAGTTTCCAGTCTGACCGGAAAAAGTTATCAGCAGATTTGTACGGCAACACGGTTGTTTGAAACACTTGCAGGTCACTGATGATGATCAGAACCATCTCGAAACGTGACTTACAGTCACAGAACATGCCATGCCAAAAATTATGAAAATCGATTTCAGCCTACTCTTTTTATGAGCAAAATTATTTTTTTCCAAAAGAACTTCAACGCCTTGTACCAACTCAACGAGACGATTTTGGATATAGGTAAGTTGGCCTAAATCAACTTGTTTTTATCTCAGGAGTCCACAGCCGAGCCATGTCCCAACCTTTTACAGACACCCTGTATATGATTTAGGAGAAAAAAAAATTACACCACTAAAATGTACATACACTGGTCGAACTTATCGACTCCATATTACTCGACATCCGACATTTCCAGACGATGATACTGAACCCACAGATGGAGCTTCACACCTTCTAGTTTGGCAACTACTAACTGACATTCCTGGGAATCCCATAGGGTAGGTCCTCTACATTAAATATACTGTGATATTACTATGAAAACGCATTGGACGCCGATTAGACGGAGATTAGATCAGTATCCACTGTGTTGCTCACTTAGACTAAGACTGCATGCATTTTGCTCGCTGCACATTCTACAGAGCGGTTCAGTTTGTATGTATCAAACTCAAGGAATCGACAGAACACGACAGATGCTTTCACTGGTTTGGTTATTGAGATCTGATTGAGATATAGGACGTGGAAGTTTTGATTTTTCTAAGATTTTCTTGGATAATTGAAAATCCGTGATTGGTAGATATTTTTATCAACGGGGAGTGATGTTTTTAGAAGAGGAATTGAATTGACTTTAAGGTCTCTCGAGTTTTCTTTCAAAATTGAAGATTGTTGCAGGATTTTTTTACATCCTCTCAGAAAATTTACCATGGTATATTTTTCATTTGGCTAGGAACGATCCGAATTTGGAGATATATAGGGTTTATTTAAGTATGTGGCCAAACTTCAAGAGTTGATTTGTCGAGTGATTCCAAGTCGAAAAGTTCATGTAAACATAGGCCCGGAAAAACACCGTTTTTAAGATACGGCGTGTCAAAGATTTGAACAAAAATCTCTGATCCAATTTTGTTTAAATATTGCAGTGTTATTTGTAGTAGTAAGGTACCAATTAAGCCATAACTACACCTTTTCCAGTTGTATTTCAGATAGCGTCAATTCAATTTCAGAATAGTCACTTGTATTTCAGAATGCATCAATTGTATTTCAGAATAGTCCATTGAATTTCAGAAAGTTTCAATTGAATTTCAGAATAGTCACTTGTATTTCAGAAAGCATCAATTGTATTTCAGAATAGTCAATTTTCAGAAAGCTTCAATTGAATTTCAGAATAGTCACTTGTATTTCAGAAAACATCAATTGTATTTCAGAATAGTCATTTGAATTTCAGAAAAGTCAATTGTATTACAGAAAGCATCAATTGTATTTCAGAATAGTCAATTGAATTTCAGAAAGCTTCAACTGAATTTCAGAATAGTCACTTGTATTTCAGAAAGCATCATTTGTATTTCAGAATGGTCACTTGTATTTCAGGAAGCGTCAGTTGTATTTCAGAATAGTCAATTCAATTTCGTAAAGCGTCAATTGTATTTCAGAATAGTCAATTGAATTTCAGAAAGCTTCAATTGAATTTCAGAATAGTCACTTTTATTTCAGAAAACATCAATTGTATTTCAGAATAGTCATTTGAATTTCAGGAAAGTCAATTGTATTACAGAAAGCATCAATTGTATTTCAGAATAGTCAATTGAATTTCAGAAAGCTTCAACTGAATTTCAGAATAGTCACTTGTATTTCAGGAAGCATCATTTGTATTTCAGAATGGTCACTTGTATTTCAGGAAGCGTCAGTTGTATTTCAGAATAGTCAATTCAATTTCGTAAAGCGTCAATTGTATTTCAGAATAGTCAATTGCATTTCAGAGTACAAATGACTATTCTGAAATACAAGTGATTATTCTGATATACAAATGATGCTTTCTAAAATTCAATTGACTATTCGGAAATAAAAATGATGCTTTCTGAAATACAAAAGTGGCTATTCTGAAATACAATTGAGGTTTCCTGAAATTGAATTGACGCTTTTCGAAATACAACTGGTAAAGGTGTAGATTTACAAAAAACCTTTTTTATAAAAAAGTTTGAAACTGTGTATCTTGAAAATTGTGCATTCGGAGCTATATTCATATGAACTTTTCGTCTTAGAAGCACTTGAAAAATCGTCCCTTGAAGTTTGACTACAAACTTGAATAACACCCTGTATATAGCAGGATGTTTCGTTATTTGACCTGAATGTTTCAATAATTTGAATTCATACATGTTTGAAATTTTTTTCTTGTTAATCCCCCATAATATCAGAAGATACAGGCGTCCCCAGTTCAAACGGAACACCCTGTATATCATTGAATTTTACGTATTATTTTGAGGAAAAACCGTGTTATATGCCCCAATAGTAATTTGCAACCGTTCAAGAACTAGTACGAGTTTTACTACGCTTCGCGTACTTATCAAGGACCGAAGAATAGGATCCCCAGGATGAGCAATTGATTTTTTCTCGAATAACATGGTGAATTATGTTCCTCCACCAAAATTTCAAATATTCCGTCACCAAAATTTCAAATGTACAGGGTGATTCACCATAAATGTCCCTCCCTCTAGCTCAGTAATTTTTTAACCAATCTCAAAATTCGAGGAATCATTTGAAATGATTTTTGATATTTTTTTCTGCTACATCAGAAAACACAGAATGCTCCGAAAAACGATCTACAGGGTACTAGTTGATTTTTTCAATGGAACACCCTGTATTTCATCGCATTTTTATATTTTTTCTGAAGAGCTGATTTGATTAATGATTAATATATATCACACTTGGGGTCCAGCGGGAATGATCACATATGGTGTTCAAAATCGCCCTGTATGATGAATGTCAATTTATCATACACCCAAAAGAGATTCTTCAACTTTAGAATTTTCTTGTGTCGAAATTATTCATTATTTTTCAAAACGGCTTTCATGTTCCCATCTTAACTTTTGATTCACTACCTACTGACATTTAATAATTGGAAATACACAGAGTGATAAGAATTCTGAATCTTGAACCACCCTGTATATTGTTTCAATTTAATGTCAATAGATAGTAAATCAAAAGTTGAGATAGCAAAATGTGAGTCGTTTTGTCCAATAATAAATAATTTACACACGAAAAAATTCTAAAGTTGAAAAATCTCGATTCTGAACACCCTATAACTCTAATCATTCTAGCTAGACCCCAAGTGTGATGAAGATGAAATCAGCTTT